TATGACTTATACAAGACTGACTTATACATGTTCATATTTTTCATGTTCATATTTTTCTTTAAATCAATCGTCTTAGAATTTATAATAATAAAATATTTTCTCCGTTTAAAAAAGAAATATATACTCTTTACCATTCAAAAGTTAGAAATTTTGTTTATTTGTGCACTTTGATTGATTATTTGATAAAATAAAACATTCTTTTCACTTTATGTTTTGTAGAACTTTTGACATCATTTTTAAATATGTCGATCATGTATTAAGGATTTCATCCAATCGAGTATTATGTGAAGAGTACACAAAAGAAGTGTTCAAGAGTTAGTGTGTGCTTGAAGTGAAGATTAAGCCAAGGATATGAAGACAATTAAAGAAGAGCTCAAAAGTTCAAGACCAAAGACCCCAAGGCTTTTGGGTAAAACTCAATGTAACAGAAACGTTTAAGTTAGCTTGGCTTTTGGCTCACCTTAAGTCATTTTTCACATGCATAAAAACCATGATCTTCAATTATGCATCTTGCCCAACCAAAACCATCGATTATCGGTGTTCGGCTATCGGTATTTGTTATTGGCATTGCTTTTTGCCAAATAGTTTTTTAGTTATTATCTTTGGTTTTTACTTTTAGGAACATTTAAAGGTTTTTCAAACCTTGAGTTTTAAAAAATCATAACCTTCAGCTTTCGGCGTTGATTATCGGCGTTCGGCATTCGGTTTTCGACTTTGGTTATTGATAGTTGTTTCAGCTAAATGGTTTTTGAGTTTTTATCTTTTCTTATTACTTCTAGACACATTTAAAGGTTTTTCAAATGTTTAGTTTTAAAAAAACCATAACCTTTGATTTTTGGCGTTGGTTATCGGTATTGGTTTTTGACGCCTGTTCAACTTTTACATATTACATCTATGTACATTAGTGAACAATTACATACATGTGATTTCAAATTTTTACTTTTATTTTACTATTTGAACTAGTTATATACTTATATTACTTACACCATTTGTCCCAAAATGAATTACCATATCTAAACAAAATGTGAAGTTTCATATATATATATATATATATATATATATATATATATATATATATATATATATATATATATATGTTTTAAATTTATTTTATTTATAAATAGGTATAAAATGAACAATACAACTTACATGAAAAAAATTTAGTTAAAATGTATACAAACTAGAGCACGGTTATAAATACATTTTTCACCCCTCTCATGTAATATTTTATGTTGGCCAAACATGTACTTTGAATTACAATTAATTTCACTCAAATTTTATCTAGTTGCATTCAATTTAACTCAATTTCAACATATTTTAACCAAATTGATCCAAACTGAACCGATTATACCATATATCCGAAAGATATCCGAACTGAATTATTCCAAACCAAAACCGAATGGATTGATTCGATTGCCACCTCTAAACCCATCCCTGCAGTATATATGGACTCTAGGGTATGGCTTGTCGGCCCAGGGATGTTCAAGTAACAACAACGTGGAATATTGGCGACCAAGAATGAAGCAACACCATTCTCGGACCTAGGTCACCAGCGACCACCTCTTTTCTTCATTTAAGCATCTCATTGGCAATGGTCGTAGAGTGACTCCAGCACAGTCCTCCCATTAAAAGATCCAAGCCTGACCATCTTCACTATATAATGATGGAATAAATCCCCAGCAAAGCATTGCAATCGATCGTTAGGGATGGCGATGTTACGGTCGAGACATGTTGTGTAATGCCCTGAAATCTAGCCTATTAGAATTGATTAATTTAATTAATTGATTACGTCATAATACTCGTTTTGACTGTCTGATACCAGAAGCGTAAATGGTTTTCGAAGCAGAGTAGTTTGGGGGGAAAAGCGCATACTGTTCAGATCAGAGTTTAAATTACGGAGTAACATAAAAGTTAACTCTCCCTTTTCCCACATGTGCTACACACAACACTATTCCCTCCCTTCTCTTCAAAATCATCACCATTCTTCCTTTAATACATGCACTCCCCCTCTTCCCTCCTTTCTGTCTCTCTTTGTTTTCTCCACCAAAAAACCATCTAACTCCCACTCTCTCCTTTCCCTTGCCTCGGTAAGAACAGCAGCGGCGGCACAAGGATGAGGACCGCTAGTTAGAATTGGAAAAAAGAAGAGAAGGAAGGAAGAAGTCCGTACGCTGAACGTTCGTGAGTTGTGCCACCGTTCGTATCGTCTTCATCCATCAATCATCACGTTCTAAAGGTGAGTACATTGCTCCTCTAACATTAGAATTTGTAGTTGTGTTCGATATAATTATATCCATATGATCACTTGTTCATAATCTATGTCATAATCCGAGACTCGTTTGATTATTCGCTACAACCTATAAATCCGTGAACTTAGTAAAAAATCATCTAGGATCCGTAGGTAAATATATGTTTAAGTATTTATGTACATAACTGAATGAAAATGAAGCAAAAAGTGTAAAAATAGTCCTTGGAATGGAACACAGAAGTGATCGCTATCATCGTGACGGTCGACCACCGTCAAGGACGGTGGATCATGCACAATGTCTAAGCCATTGTCGCGGTCACGATCGACCATCGATAGGTATAGTTGACCGTTCTACTCCTCCGCGGCTCACCACCTCAACTGTCCAGGCCAAGGTACAGTCAATTGCTGGAGTCTCAGTCTTAGCCGTAGCAACTAAATAGTCGACTACCAGAAAGAACAGTCGATCGTTACGGTCCCAAAAATTGGACAGGAGCCTGTTTTGAACATAAATGTTTATCTAATGTGGTTATTTAAATCAAATACTGGATGTTCATCATTATGGATGATATATTTTTGGTTTATCACAAAGGTTTTCATATTCATTCATTTCATTACGCATGACGTAGAAGCATGACGTATGAATCATTCACATAATAGCATACCACCAAAGAGGTCGGGCCTAGTGCGTTTCCTAGGTATCATTCAAGAGATTTGTGTATGTACAAGGTATTCAGGTTCTCGGATACCACCCACAATATTCTATTCTCGTTATGAGACTAAGGTTTGCCCGAATCATTACCCTCGTGGTGTGACCTCAAAGCGCAAGGGGTTCTTACACGCCTAACTCATGCATCATGCAATCATATGGATATTGATTAAATCGTTATGTGATACACGTACGTTAAGTAGAGGTATGAGTATGCTTATATCTATATGGTTTGCCACCACGCATTCTCTTGTTAGAGTTTGCCACTTAGTTTATGCTGACCGTATAGTATTGTCTTTGCTATACGTGGTTAGAAACAATGAACTTAGAGCCTATCCTTTTTGGGCGGCGGACATGGATTATTACTTCCCCTTATATTACTTACAATCCTTTTCGGGCATGAACCCACCTTTTTCATATTAGTTTCATGGATTGAAGTTTATTTAGCTTCTGCTTTGGACTATTTTACTTTACTCTGTATGTCTTTGTGGGATTATTTTCCCAACGGTTTTATTTTAATTTAACATGTCAAAGGAATTTGGTTTTTCTAAAATGGATGGTCCTTAATACCATCTATGTAACCCTCCGACCCATTGGATCGCAGGCGAATCAGATCCAACGAGTTGGCGGTGTTACAATTTGGTATCGGAGCATTTGGTTTAAAAACGATTATAGAAAATCTAACTCAAAGGAATTTTTCAAAATCCACCAGCGCATCTCCCATCACATCTCTGCCCGGGAAGGTAAATACTTATCATTAGTGTATTTGTTTATGCCTAATAGGAAATTCTTGTCTTATTATAGAATGAGTCAAACTTTGACTCACAAACGGGCACCACCACAAGGGGAGCATGAGCATGTCAGTTTGCATATGGTGCCTACTGAGGCATCTAGCTTCACGGCGCCACAACAAGCTCCTGAACATGGGGGTTGGTTCGGTTTTCACCAAAAACCAAAGACAAAACGGAAGGTAAATTGGCGGTTTGGTTTGGTTCGGTTTTGTATAAAAAACATGTAAATCGTAGGTTTTTCGGTTCGGTTTTATACGGTTTTTACTTTGGTTTTTTTTTATTTTTTTGGTTTATAAAAGTATAAATTCACAGTGATTTTTTTGTTTGATTTTTACAAAAAACCAACCAAAAGGTTATTGTTCCTTTCGTTTCAATTTTACATAAAAAAATATGTGTTGAGTACCCAACAAACATTTAGAAGATTCCAAATACTTCCAAAGACATCGTATGTAAAATCAATTACAAAGAATTTATGTTTTTTGGTACCCCGGAGTATAATACTTTCATTTTCATTATAACATCAAATTATTTTTTATATAACTATGTAAATTACTAGTATCAATTTTTAATGTTAATATAATTCTATATTAGGATTAGCTATTGGTGTTCATACTCTTAGGTTTTTTTAAATTTTATAATAATAAGGCTAGAATGTTTAATTAATAGTTAAGAAAACAATTTAAGTCGACTAGTAATATATTTGCATTTAAATTTCTATGATTTTTCTACATATCACATATATTCATATAAATACAGCGAAGTATCTAAGAAAGTTCGAATTATTTGGTTCAGTTTGGTTTTTCAAAGTGAAAACCAAAATGGAACCAAACATTAACGGTTCGGTTCCATTTTTTACATTCGGTTTCGGTTTTTCGGTTCAATTTTTCTCCTAGCTCGTTTCGATCGATTTTGATTCGGTCTGCGGTTTTCGGTTTTCCCAACCCAGACCTACCTGAACAGCAGGGTCTGAAAGCAGTGCCCATACAGAAAGCATTTGTTCCAGTCTTCCAGCCGCAAATGGCAGCCAACATGCTCAACTTTCACACACACACACATACACACACAGAGAGATATATATAGACACACACACACACTCACACACGGGACTACAGAATGTTCATTGCATATATATTTATAAGAAACAAAACGCCAATTTCATTCATGAGCATGAATGAAATACTCAACAATCCAAATTCATCGTTTTATTCATCTAAGGAGGAACCATTTTGACAAGCTACCAGAAGGACATTGTCTACTGTCAAGCCACAATGCTGATCATTGCTGTGTCTCTAGAAGGAAATGAGAGAAATGGTCGGGGTTCTTGTTTCCTATGTCGTCGCGATCATCGTTGGGGCTAATGGAAGGCTGCCGATCGGTACTGGTGCTAAGGGAATCAAAGAAGAAGAAGAGATCGAGGTCACTAGGGTTACAGAGATATAAAGTAAAACATCCACTTTTTGGGCGATCATTTAATACTAAATTTAAAACTAATTACAAAAAAGTGGCGAGTAAACGAGCAAGAAGCCGCGACATTATATTGATTACACCAACATGAAGGTACAACCGGATATAGCTTATGACCTGTGTCATTTCAATTGAGACACTTTGGCCAGTTCGATCACATGAGTAGATTGATAAATAAACTTGAATAAAGTTTGGGATATCAAATTTGCACACCACAAATAAATACAAACATTTTATATGTGATGGTGTGACATAAGTGGATATATTTGCATGTAGTCTTCAAAAAGGTGTGCAAAGTAGAGTTTTCTAAGTTCTAACCTTTGTCATCTCCAAGTACCAATACCATACATCTGTATGTACAGTATTTTTTGTACATAATTATGAATATTCAATTTTGAATAACAGAATATTAATTTTTGAGTAATAAATACTCATTTTCGAGTATCTAAATACTCATTTTTAATATAGCTGAAGTTTAGAAAATGTATATTAGATTACTTAAAAATAAATATTTAATTTCTCAAAAATGAATATGTTTTTTATGGCAAAAAATGAATGGTCAATTTCTCTAAAATGAATATTCTAATACTTTATGAATATTCTACTACGTATATGGGGAAGTTGTAGACTTGTAGGCGGATGCTGTAAGGTATAAAAAAGAAAAAAAAATTCAGATAACTAGGCAAAGGAAAAGGAAGGACTGGCCGACTGGGGAACGTGAACCTCTTTACATCGTTCCCATCGAACAATCAGTTCTGTTCACCTTGTTCGGCTTCGTCTGATTAATCCCATTTTCCTTCTTTAAATAATCTACAGGAGAAAACGATTACTAACATGGCCGCAGCCGCTGCTTCATCCGTATCCGCTGCATTTAAGCCCGAAATGAAATCCATCCCCAAAGTGCCGATGACTCCATCGTCACTACCCACCAAGCAAAATTTGGTCCAGTCGCAATCGTTTTGCAATCGCAAGCTCAGGTTCTCGGCGAATTCGATGGAGCCACAGGCACACGCGGGGCTGTCGGCATCTTCCGGTGCCCTTTCTAAGTCTAAGGCCGGTGTGTTGCAGAAGGATCCGCTGAGGCTGTGGAATAGGTACTTGGAGTGGGTGTACAAGCATAAGGAGCTGGGTCTGTACCTGGACATCAGTCGGGTTGGGTTCAGCGAGGAATTCATACCGCAAATGGAGTCCCGGATTCAGAAGGCCTTTAAAGACATGGAGGAGCTTGAGAAAGGGGCTATTGCCAATCCAGACGAAGGGCGTATGGTCGGACACTATTGGCTCAGGAGCCCGCACATGGCTCCCAACGCTCCCCTCAGATTGGAGATTGAGAACACCCTCGAGGCTGTTTGTAAGTTTGCAGACGATGTCATCTCTGGTAAGGTCAGTTTCCTTACCACCTTTCATTCATTACCATGTCTTCACGTGCTGTTGTTTTGCTTTTTCTGCCCTTTTTGTCATCTTGATAACAATTACATAACATGTTGATGAGAAACTGACTTGAAGCAGATAGAACAAGGAAATTGAAACTACTTTGCTATTCCTTTCAGTGTTTAAAAGCTAAAACCACCCAAACATGGGAGAGATCCTAAGAGCATCTGGAAACTATACAACCCAAGCAGTTGGAATATTTGTTTGATCTATCGGAAAGATTAAGGTTTTAAAGTGCAAAATCGGGCCTAGAGATTGACGGCCTCTACCTCATCTTGCAAAATGAGGCATAAATCTCAAATTTAAATAAATGAAAATATATAATAAATATGATAAAACACAACAACTCAGTTGAATCCCACCAAATAGGGTCGGGGAAGGGTGTGCATACACAGACCTTACCCCTACTCGAAAGTAGGGAGACTGTTTCCAAGAGACCATTCATAATTATAGGCTATGTAAAACCACACATATATTTATTCACAGTAGAACAAAATAACAAGCTAATAGCATATATAAAGTGATAAAATATGCAAGTTAATAGCACATTTAAGAAGGATTAAATGCGCTTGTCAAACATCGAGAGCAAGTCCTTGAGGTCTAGGATTAGAGTAGTTGGTTAGACCTTTTCGCCTTAGTTTGCAGTTCATGTCGGTGCGTCTCTATGCCTTAGTGTGTAGCTCGTGCATGTGTGCTTTGGATTTGAGTTGCTGGTGTCAGTATGTTTGCTTCTTTTGCGGTGCTCTTCCTCTGTTCATGCTATTATGTTTACTTCATCTGTATGTGCTACCCTGTTTGAGTTGGGGTCTCTGAAAAACGACACCTCTACCACCAAGTATGGGTAAAAGTCTACGCACAAACACCCTTCACGAACCCTACATTTTGTGGGATTTTACTTGGTTTGTTGTTGTAATTCATATCAAATGAAGTATGTCTTGTTGGACACCTTGAAGATTCATAGAGAGTTTAGTCATTCAATTTAGCCAACAGTGAAGTGAGTGGTTGAAGCTTCATGGAGTGTAAGGATGAAGTTTCACAGTGGTACCAGTCAATCTTTCATCATGTTTGGGGGATACAAGTTTTTTGGCTCAAATAAGTGGGGAAGGTGTTCACTGGAGATGCATGATCATTAAGAGATGCAAAAACAAGAACATTTGCTTCTTAGATGAAATAGTTGTTCCTACCTCTTAGGTGAAAGTTGTGCCAAAAAGATTCAATGAACATCATGAAACTCACTAGAATATTCTGGATTTTATGTATAAGTAGAAATATTTAGAAGCATATGCCAGAGTATGGGATTGAGTAGGACGTTTCGAAGAAGTGTGGAGCCTTCTAGAATACTGTGGGAGCTTATTGAGATTTCTGTATTGGATAGAGTATTTTGAAATGCTCTAGAGAAGGCTAGTGCCTAACCTTGGTCATTAGTGTAAATAGGTGTGACTCTATGTGCACTAAAAAAGGTGTGACCGTGTGAGAGTGTTTCATATGTAGCAATCCAAAAAGACATTTATTGGCCCAAGTGAGTAATATAAAGAGAAGTGATTTGTTGTACTGATACAAGTGTGAAGTAAACTACTTATATATATATATATATATATATATATATATATATATATATATATATATATTTGCAAAGTCTCTTTTGTTCGTTGTAGTATAAGTACAAAGGGGTGTTGGTAAATAACCTTTTCACCCCTGCAATAAATGTTTGAATCCAAAGAACTATTTGACCTTGGTTAAACAACTAATTGAGTGTTTGGTAAAGAACCGTTTAAAAGAGATGTTTGGCCCTTAAATACTCTTTTTCAAAAGGCTCTTCTTACAAGCCTTTTCAAAGAGGTGTTTGAATGTCGAAGCTGTGGCCTGTGGGTAAGTAAATTTACAACGTTAAACTTAATATTATAATAAAAATACTATTATTATTATTCTTAACATAAAAAAATCTGAGAGATTAAAGTCCTAAATTTGAACTGTTTAGTTGTCATTTTTTATGTTATAATTTACAAATTTAATCTTACATTGAACGAAAATTTGATACTTCAAAAAATTCTAGTTATGGTAGGCAATAATTATCAATTTGAGGTCTTGACTTAATATGTCAATTCTAAAGCATATAAATTATAAAATGTATTTATAAAAATATACTACCTCCCTCCTGCAACTTTCGACGCTCATCGTGGGTCATATGTATATAGCAGCTCTATGTTTTAAACATAGGGGTCAAGCTGCGTAGGAGATTTCCGGCGGTGCTGGAGCCGGGGGTCTCTTTGAAAACAAACTCTCTACTTTCGACTAAGGGGTAAGGTTTGGGTTGTTGTTGTGGGATTCAACTGGGTTGTTGTTGTTGTCCCGCAAAGTGACCTTAGATCATTTGTTTTTATTAATATTTAAACCAGAATTTTACAACCTACATCCAAGAATGTCCAATAAATATTAAAATAGTCAAGGCAAATAATGATTTTTTATCAAATTGTTTTTTGAGCAACAACTGATTTTACCAAACATCTTTTTGAAAACCACTAAGTTAGCCAACAAATGCAAATGGCTAATTTAGACGGTTGATTCAAACCACTAATCCAAATGGCCAAGAACTCGTACGAGATTGTGAACCAGGAGAAGTCGATTATTTACCAACAAGAATCTTATCGTCAAATAAATGGGCTAGTAACTTTTTTTTGAGTTTAGGCCATTGACTTATTCTATAATGCCTATCATTACTTGGCAGCAGGACTTCATTAAGAACCAGCTGGTCGGCCACTTCATCACAATATGCACAACTAAACATAGAGTAGCTAATAGTGATTTTTGGTTTCCTCGTGTCTCTACTCTCAGTGAATCCATTGTTGTAGGAAACTATGGGGTCTTCGTTGTTGGTTGTTGCTCGAACTGGGGGTCTCTTGGAAACAACCTCTCTACTTTCGAGTAGGGGTAAGGTCTGCGTACACCCCCTCCTTAGACCCTAGTTTTGTGGGATTCTACTGGGTTTGTTGTTGTTGTTGGGTACTTATTGCTCTTTTTCCTTGAGACATGAAATATATTTAAAACATTTTGCATTGTTGTCTATGTTATTGTAGATGGAGCCAAAATTTCACCATTTTTTTGGCTTTGGGGTGTGATGGAATAAATCAAAATGGATCTCTAAACTATCTGCGCTTCTTTAATTAATGAAGTAGCAGTTAGTTAAGCAATGCAACTTTCGACGTTGAGCCGGGGGTCTCTTTGGAAACAGCCTCTCTACTTTCGAGTAGGGGCAAGGTCTGCGTACACACACCCTCCCCAGACCCTACTCTTGTGGGATTTAACTGGGTTGTTGTTGTTGTTGTCTATGTTATTGTAGAATTGTTGTAAATACAAATTTGCAAATACCCTTATTATCTATCTAATACTTCGGAACTTTATGTACAGATCAAGACTCCTTCAGGTGGCCGATTCACTCAAATTCTCAGTGTTGGAATTGGCGGTTCAGCACTTGGGCCACAGTTTGTTTCTGAGGCTTTGGCCCCTGATAATCCTCCTTTGAAGGTAATTGAATATTCATATTTGTAATGGTAGATAATCTGTATTGTCTTGCTACTCAGTTGTGCATTGTGATCCTAATGATTGACAGATTAGATTCATTGATAATACTGATCCAGCAGGCATTGATCATCAAATAGTACAGCTCGGGTCAGACCTGGCATCAACACTTGTTATAGTAACCTCTAAGGTTTCCATTGATATAATCTTTAATTCACTCGTTTCTGTTTGGCATGTGGGCAAAAGTGAATAGCCTAATTCTGTGGTTTTCCCCTCTCAATTTACTCAGAGTGGAGGCACCCCTGAAACCCGAAATGGTCTACTAGAAGTACAGAAGGCCTTTCGTGAAGCAGGGCTGGAGTTCGCAAAACAGGTTCTGATCTCAGTTTTTCTTGGTTTTGTTTTGTTTTTATCTGTTTCCTTTATGTTCCTTCATTTCTCAATAGGCTGCATGATTTAGACAAATGAAGCAAGGCAAGCTTTATATCTTGTTAGTGTCTTGCTTAGTATTTAGTTTCTTGTGTTAAGAATGTATGGTCATTTGATTGATAGAAATTTTGGGCCATTCTTCCAAAATGAATAAACACCATGTGCCGTATTTTATTGCAATTCATTGCAATGTCAATCTTTCTGAAATGAAAATCAAATTATGTTGCTAACTGACAGGGAGTGGCCATTACACAAGAGAATTCGTTGCTTGACGTAACTGCTAAAACTGAAGGTTGGATTGCCAGATTTCCTATGTTTGATTGGGTGGGCGGTAGAACTTCTGAAATGTCTGCTGTTGGTTTGTTACCAGCAGCCCTTCAGGTTTGTGATGTTCTCTACAGCCTATGCAATATTTTCCCAATTGCTCCCAAAACTCCAGAGTGCTCATGTTCTTTTTTCTTTGATTTATAGGGAAAATTTTCTAAAATAATCTGACCTTTTCGCGTTCTTCCAAACATAATTCCACTTTTCATTGTCACGTGAAATAATCCCACTTTTGCGCATGTGTGCGAGTTTTTGGTCTCCACAGTCACTTAACATATCTTTTAGAAAATACTCCCTCCGTCCCATTTGATTCTTCCCATTTCCTATAATGGAATTACAATAAACCTGAAGTTACACTTTTACCCTTCCTTTATTTTCGCTCTGCCCCAGCCCTTTCTTGTCCTAGGTCTTTCTTTTTTCTTCGCCGACCCTTTGTTTTTCTTCTTCATCATCATCATCTTCTTCTTCTTCTTCTGACCACACCCCTATTTCCCCCTTCCCCTTCTTCTTCCTCTTCCGCCAATTTCTTGGATTTGATTTAGTTTTTTTTTTTCAATTTCGTAGATTTAAAACTAGATCCAATTTTTAATATCTTCAATTTTCTAGATTTGAAAACTAAATTTAATTTTAAATTTCTTCAATTTCATCAAAATCATCGTCTCTCTGATTTTGCCAAAATAAGGTTTGAAGTTATTGTCTTCAAACCCTTTTTGTTTGTTTTGTCATACGTTGAACTACTAATGTTCCTCCCACCAAATTTCTTCATCTGTCATTCGTGCTTCTTCAATCAAAAGCAACCGATTTGGAGGAGGCGTGGATCTAGAGGTCACAGCTGTAAAGCAGCGGAGATCTAAGTACCAGCAATTCTGGAGGAGAACAGGCGGCGATAGATCTGGAGAGGGGAGGAGCTTCGGATCTGGATGACAAGGGGCGGCGACATCGATAAAGGGCAAGGAGCGCACCCCCATTAGCATCTTAATGATAATATGGGCTTCTAATTTTGAAAGAAATTGTTAAAGGGCATTTTAGGAAAGTCAAATGAATTTTAACATTGTATTAAAAACCGTGCCAAGTCAAACTGAGAAGTTTCAACTAGGACAGAGGGAGTAAAAGTTTTTTGGAAATAAACAAAAGGTGGAATTATTTTACGTAAATTCTCTTCTTTTTTTGAATTTTTAATAAATAAATACCAAATTTAAATTTTTTCTTAATTTTTTTATAAATAATACCTAATTTAAGTGTTTTTCCCAAAGTGAAACTAATTATTTTTTCGATAATCGATAATATGGTAATAAGTATTTTTCCATGCTTATATTACAAAAGTTGTGAAATGGAACAATAAATTATATACAAAATGGAAGTAATTTATTTACTCCATAACTCACTACATGTTTTTGTAAGTTGCAAAAGAAATTACCCAAATAGAAGTAAAACATAACATTTATTCTCAAAATACGAAGTCCATGTTTTTATCCCCAAAATAAGATTTTGCGTTGTGAGATTATGACACTGAATAGGGGCATCCCGCAATATTTTTTGGTGCTATTTAGTATTATTAGCATCGGTGAGGTTCTAGTGACACCGGAATACGGTGCCACTGGCATTTTGGGGCACCTCCGGTGCTCCAAAAACGCAGTGGCACCGCTAGTGGCACCGTACTCCGGTGTCACTAGAACCCCACCGTATTAGCATTGTAGCTCCAATTTTTGGGATAAAAAACATGGAGCTCCTATTTTGGTATTTTTTCATATCTTACTCCTAGTTTAGTCATTTTCCCAAGTTGCAGTTGTTTTCTTGAGTGGCTCTTCGAATTGTTTTGTTGATAATAGACTATTATTATTTTTTCAAAAATGGCACTACAAAACTTGTAAATTTTTTTCGATAATTTAGTATAAATGTTTTTTTACAAAAAAAAAATACAAAAATTATGAAAATAGCACAATAATTTTTTCTCAGACACGGAACTATTACTTCTATAACTCACTACATTTTTTTGTATTGCAGTATTTTTCATGAGCAATACTCCGAAATGTTTATAGATAATCAACTATTAGTCGTATTATCTTTTCCAAAATGGCACTGCAAACTTGTGAATTGTTTTCGATAATACAGTACATTTTTTTCCCCTAAATAACAATTCAAAAGTTTAGAAAATGGAACTACAATTTTTTCTCCAAAATGACACAAATTATTTTTAGAACTCACTAGCTATGACTTTTTTGCATTGCAATTTCTTTCTCGAGCGATACTCTAACTTACTTTTTGATAATTTACTATTATATTTCCCACAAAACAGAATCAATTTTTTTTGAATGATTATATTTTTAAAAAAGTTAAACAAATCTCTAGCAAAAGTGTACTGTTATATTTTTATAAACAAAAATTTAAAATTTAAAATAAAAAAAATGAAAAAAGAAAATTTACCTAAAATAATTCCACCTTTCATTTCTTTATGAAAAACAGACATTTTCTAAAATATCCGTTATGTGACCGTTAGCTTCCTAACCGCGACACAAAACTCGCAATATGCGGAAAGGTGGAATTGTTTTCCGTGACAGTGAAAAGTGGTATTATTTTTGAAAATTCGCGAAAAGGTGGGATTGGAGCAAAGTAATATGGCTCTTAAACTATCTGTGCCTTTTTTGATAATGAAATAATGGTTAGTCAATGGAACTTTCGACGCTCATCATCGGTCATCTGGAAAAAGCCGCTCTATGTTTTTACATAGGGGTCAGGCTGTGAACATCCGACCCTCCCTTACCCGCCTTTGAGACACTGGGGTAATGTTGTTTTTGGTTTTATTCAAGGAAATTGATATAAGAGAGATGCTTGCTGGTGCCGCAATAATGGATGAAGCAAGTAGGAGTACTGTGGTAAGATGAGTTTATTATGGTTTTTTCGTTAGTTCTATATTTCAATGCTCTACTTCTGTTTCTTAAAAGTGCATGTACTTACTATGTTTGAAACATATTATTCTTGTTTTGGAGATATTTCGGATTATCGTTACAAGTTATATCTGATGTTTTCAACCCACAATGTATTTGAACTCTTTGCCTGAGAAAAGTTTTCACCCCTCTGTGTGCGCATCAGGTCCGTGATAACCCTGCAGCACTTCTTGCTCTATGTTGGTACTGGGCAACTGATGGGATAGGTTCCAAGGTGCGTAGTACTTTAGTTTCAATTAAAGTAACTTTCACCTTAATCCTTTGTGGATAATGATGTTTTTACTATTAGTTGCGGAGTATAAAACATTCCAATATTAGCCCAGAAATATCCTTCATGGTGTGACATATGCAGGATATGGTTATTCTTCCGTACAAGGATAGCTTGTTATTGTTCAGTAGATATTTACAACAGCTGGTCATGGAGTCACTTGGCAAAGAATTTGATCTGGATGGTAATCGGGTATGTCCCTCCTTAACATTTTGCCGGGAAGAAACTAATGATGTAACATCCACCGTTAGATCTGACAACCACCAAAAATAAGAAACTATAAGAAAGATCAACTGGTGTATAATTTATATGTTTTTATCCCGGCAATTTATACTCCATTTGTTCCTATTTCATTGACCCCACCTGGCCTTCAATCACTTTGATTTATACTCCCTTTAGTCCTAATTTATCTACCTCGCTTTTATCAACCACACAATTCTTTCCTTAAAAAGGAAATTGGAAGTTTTTTTAATACTATTAACTCTATTACAATGTAAATGTGTTCATACATACTTTCTTAACCTACTGAAGCACAATGAGTCAATGCCCCCACTGCTACTTGAACCTGTGACCTCCAATTTGGAAGAGCCACAGTTATGCAGCTTGACCACAAGGTCTTTGCCCCTTTCTCAAATTGGAAGATTATTTAGGGATAGATCTAAAAGGAAAGATGAAAGATAGAAAAGGGCGGAGAGTGTATACGCAGTTTACTCTTTATGCCATTGATTTAAGCATTAAAATTTGCTGATTTGTTGCTTGTCTTCTTCTGCTCACTTATAGGTGAATCAAGGGATCACAGTGTATGGAAACAAAGGAAGCACAGACCAGCATGCGTAAGTTTATATTTCACGTTTGTTAATTCGGTGTATTGGCGTGTACGTAGATTCATCTAAGGTCTTGAAATATGTTGTATTTTCTTCAGATACATCCAACAGCTGAGAGAGGGCGTGCACAATTTCTTTGTCACATTTATTGAAGTACTGCAGGATAGGCCTGCTGGTCGTGACTGGGAGCTTGAAACTGGCGTTACCTGTGGTGACTACCTCTTTGGAATGTTACAGGTTCTCATTCTAGTTAGTTACAATCCGGTTTCTTAGTCATGGGTAGTTTGTTTTTAAAGCTGATACATGTAAGGGATATGATTATGGCAGGGAACAAGGTCAGCTCTGTATGCTAATAACAGAGAGTCTATTACTATAACTGTACAAGGGGTGACCGCCAGATCTGTTGGTGCCCTAATAGCACTCTACGAGCGAGCTGTTGGAATTTATGCTTCTCTCGTCAACATTAATGCCTACCATCAACCGGGTATTTACATATATTCTAGTTGACTCTTCCCTAAGTTCTAGAATCACATTTCTGTCCACCTCTCCCTGTGTGTGTGCGCGTGTGTGGTTGGGTGCGCGTCTCTGGATAAAGTATTCAAAATGAATGTTATTTCAGGTGTTGAAGCAGGAAAGAAAGCTGCTGGAGAAGTTTTAGACCTTCAAAAGCGCGTTCTTGCCGTACTTAATGAAGCCAGGTATGCCAGCCCGTGTGTTTGGATTTTGAGAATCTGTTCAGTTATAAAATAGTCATGTCATCTCGAGGCATTAGAGCCTTTGTGCGCACCGGTGCGCATCACGCCTTAAATAACTATGATTTATACAAAGTATATGTGTGTGTGTGTGTCTATATATATATATATATATATATATATATAGTTACATTGGGTAACGTGCCACTATCATTTTTTGGGTCACCTATGGTGCTTTGTTCGTAAAATTGATGGTTCCTGCCCCTTTAACCCCCCACCCTGGCCCCGAACCCACCCCCTCAACCCCATCAATTTCATCCCCAAAATTTTGATGACTTTGGGGTCAAAAAAGGTGACCCCAAAGCAATGTTTGAAAAGGCGGAACCCAAACCTGCCTCAAGGCGCGCAATGAAACTTTTCCAGAAAATAACGCCCTGGTGCGAATCTCGATTCACGCAATTAGCCATTTTATGCAATTTGCTTAACGGCTTACGCCATGGGGCGTACGCACTGGTGCGCGCAATGAGGCATACGCAATTTAGCGTGTAAAATTTCAGTAATCAAAGGTTAAAGTTGTCAATTATCCCAATTAAGTGTATATATTTTAAAATTACCTTGTCGATGACCTTAATTGCAACCCTAATTGCTGCGATTTTCAAGCTGCGATTTCCAAGCTACGATTCATCTCCAACGCGATAGTAGGTGCGATTCATAGCGTCGAGTCACTGTCAACCATCTCCATCGCGATAGCATGTGCGATTCATCTTTTGCACATCTCTGTTTCCGTGTCAAGAGAAGGTATGATTTTGTTTTTCTTTCCGGAAAATGGTATAAGAATGGATGGATGATGGGTTACAGCGGGAGGATTTATAATCTACTATTAACTTATTATCTTGAGAAATTTATTTAATTAGTTTTTTGTTATCATTTTATAAAGTACAAGAGCATTCAATTTTCCTTTTTTACGGTTGGAGTTTATAATTGGTGTTTTTTTCAAGTAGTTGGAAACTGATATATTTTTTGAGCTGTTAATCTCTTTTTTTATTCATTTTTTGATAATTGTTGTGCTAATCTTTTGATCCTAATTTAAGCTCATCCCTTTGAGCAATATTATGTCTTATTCCATGTTAGACTTTGTTGTGTTTGCAATGTATTACGTTGACAATATACTTTTTTAATGTTTTTGGATTATTTATGTTATATATTATGTTCTATCTTTAGTTTTAAATTGTTTTGTTGATATTTTTCAATTTAAAAATTGAGGCTTACGCCTCAATACGCCTCGAGGCTTACGCAATACGCCATGAAAAGAAAACGCCTCGAAACTGCAATACACAATTTCGAACATTGCCCCAAAGTCTACAAAATTTTGGGGATTAATTGAAGGGGTAGGGGGTGGGTTTGGGCTGGTCCTGGGCGAGGGGGTTTATCTAGAGTTTAGAGGGTAGGAACCATCAATTTTGTGACCGGAGCATGGTAGATGCTCCAAATGGAGTTGGTGTCATCCGTTGACACTCATTTTGAGTGTCAATGGAACATAGACGTATTTGCATGTCTGTGTGTGTGTATATATATACATATATATATATATACATATATATATATATATATATATATATATATAGGGGGGTGGTTCAAGTAAGAATGCACCTTGGTGAAAGAAATAAGAATAAAATCTAGCCTTTGGATCTGATGCATCGTGTGGCTCGGATTGCATTCTGAACTCAGATTTTGAGATAGTGCATTTTTAAAGGATTTTGGTGCATTTCGACATGATGCATTTTCAAACCATTTTGGTGCACTTAATTTTGATGCAATCCTAACCCTTAGATCTCATAATCTAAAGCACCAGATTCATTCTTATTTCTTTTATAAGATTGCATTCTCACTTGAACCAAAGTCTATATATATATATATATATATATATATATATATATATATATATATATATTCCATTATTCCCTCCATCCTATAATTATCTTCTTACTTTTCTATTTGGGCCGTCCCAAAATTTTTTCCTAAGGAAAAAGTTAAGTGCTTGTTATCATTTCTTTGGGGGTACAAAACATAATGATGGGCAATGGGGGAATTCTAAAAAGACAAGATACAAGAGGCATGGAGGGCACCCAAGGAACTCACTGTTTTGGGCATGGTGTTAAATATTTTGAACTTTTGTGGGAGCCGATCTGATGAATTCAGGTGTAGAAGCAAACTTAAGTGTGGTTCCTATCAAGCCCAATGGAAATACACAAGTCAAAGTGTAGTGGGGTGTAGCCTCCTTCCAACTATCCGCTTCTAATCTCTTCCATAATTTCTTCTCAATTTGACTAGATCTGCTCAAAAAGTATGTTGTTCAAGAGTTTTTTTTCAAGCAAGTTGTATCACGAAGAGAATGCTGGTCAAAAGTTGTCTCAAGAGAGTTGTGTCGCGTAGAGAGAAGTTTCTTTAACTGCTGGCACGTTCATTAAGGCACTTAAGAAGTGCAACCATTTGATTTTTATTTACCGGATCAGTCACCACTGCTGGATTTGGGTGCAAAATTTGGCTGGCACCTATGAGTATTCTCATCCGGTGCGCGAGTACTGGCACCCCCTAATTTTTCATCAAAGAACAGGCACTCAGTTCCTTAAACCTACCAACCTAATCCTCCAAACTTTCTGACTGTTGTAATTTGTTGAAATCCTCAATAGTTTTTTTCCAATCTCGTCGTTGAATTTAGCACTTAAGTCTATCACAAAATCCTCCCAAATGATGTTAACTCTGCCCATCGCATAGAAGCTAAATTCACTTTTTCCACGCCCGGAATTTGACACAGCGTGAAATTTTTAACACACTTCTTGATCCAAATTCATTCATTATTAGTTCCATCAAATTGACAAAATTCTACATAGGATTGACACCGGTCATCGATCCTCTTTTTCTGTTCCAACATCTTGAATGTGTTCGACTTTTGTGGATTGATCAATGCTTTTAAAGCTTCTCCAAAGGACACCATATGAGCCGGCCTTCCTTCTCGCGCTAGAATTCCTGCCCAGAACAAGCTGCTTCGATACCAATGCTACGGTCGTGGAGACTCTTTGCAACAGAGAAGAGAGTCTCAAGGACGTCGTAACAGAAATAAGAGAGAATTTGAGCTGTGATAGAGAGAGATAAAGGAGAGTTGAGATAAGGTAGGAATTGGAATTCTGATAATTATTTCAAAAGGTAATTGCCTTATATAAAGGCTACACGTCCATCAAGTTACAAGCGAGTAAAATAACAAACATAGGGTAAATATATAGTAAGGTAAAAAAAATGAGTGGTGTCCTGCATCATAACTCTCACACTACCTTTTAGTTTTTACTACGGTATTATAAACTGATTCAGGCAGCAAAATAAAATGACCTGTTTTTTGGTAAAAAAAAGTGGGTGATAATTGTGTGTGTGTGTGTGTGTGTGTCTGTGTATTTATCTGCGTGTGTGTGTGTGTATATAGTTTCCTTAATAAAAAGTGGTTGCTAAGATGAAAGAGAAGCCTTACAGTACTGGAATGAAACTTTATAGTACCTTTTCTGCGCAGCTGCAAAGAGCCCATTGAACCATTAACACTGGAGAAAATAGCAGATCGGTGCCATGCTCTTGAAGATGTACGTGCCATTCTCTTTTTGCCCGATTTGAGAGGAGCCATTTTCTTTTACGACAGAGAAAAATAATTACTAATACTTCTTTTTTTATTATTTATAATTTCCCTGCACAACCATGAAGAGCTAATTACTGTATAATATTTCATTTGGGTGGCTTCAGATTGAGATGATCTACAAGATAGTTCAACACTTGGCAGCAAATGACAGAGCTCTGATTGCCGAAGGTAGCTGTGGTTCGCCTCGAAGCATTAAAGTATTTCTAGGCGAATGTGATGTGGATGACTTGTATGCGAACGAGTAAATGGGTACGTAAAACATTTTTCCTTGTACGTACTCGATTGGCTGAGGTTGCTAAGAAATATTTTTTATTTCTTGAGGAATGCTAAGAAATAAATGTGAGTATATATACATACAAATTGCCAGAAAAGAATAATCATTATCAAAGGCCTAGAGAGATTGGGGGTCATGAGTTGGTTCAGAAAAGGAAAAAAATACCAACACATCCTTTATATTCCCCCTCCTGTCCCAATTTATTTTATATGCTTGTTTGTTGTTTGTCGAATTTTAAGACCTTTGACTGAATTTTGTAGATACCGAGTAATATATAGTCAATTTTTAGCCTTGACGTGAATTTCAAACCATGAGATTCATCTAGAAAGTTTTAAAGAAAAATACACATGAATACCCCAAGAAATGAATGATTTTATGTTAAAACTTTGGAATTTAAAAATTGATGTTACAATTTCTGAAAATTTCTCACATTCATACCGTTACTTCAAGTTGCCAACTAGGTTAAATATGTGGTATTTAAAATGTTGATTGAACATTACTAAGAATGAGCTAGCAACTAGTAAAAGAATAACTCCGTAGAGAAAAATAAAATGTGTTATGACCTATGACTATATTACTTGTTTCAAAATTGCAAAAATCAAAATGTGGCAAAACTTTAATACATTTATATTTCAATCAGATAAATTTGAATATTGGTTTGGACAAAACTTTTAGAGAACTTTAATGTTAATACTTTATAATAAAAATTTAATTTGTGGGATAGGTTGAAGAGAGAAACTTAATGATATTATTTCTGTCCCAAAATATATTGCACTATTACTATTATCGTCTTCCGATAAGTTTTTGTTTGTATGCATGTTTTCATTATTTATTTGATAAACTAAATCATTCATGTCACCTTTTGTATTATAAAAATTCTAATTTATTTTTGAACGATGTAATTTTTATTTTTTATTTTGATTTAAATCAAAATGTAAATAAAATAATTTTACATGCAATAAAATTTTACACGTTCAAAAACATTTTGGGACAAATAGAGTATATCTTGTGAAAGTATTCAAGCTACACATTTGAAGTTATAATCATTTTAAATGTACAGAGTATAAAATAATAAAAGGTTAAGCTGAACTTGTTGGACAAATATTTGAAGACAAAACAGTAAGTGTGAAAAAAACAAATGGAAAGAAGTTTGAAAAGATACACCCTAACTTCTTTTGATATACAATTTTTGTGATTTATTCTTATCATTTGTTAAAAATAATTGTCCAGCCAGTTCACTTTTACGTTATATATATATATATATATATATATATATATATATATATATATATATATATATATATATATATATATATATATATATATATATATATATATATATGGGTTCTTGTGAGAATGCGATCTTATGAAAAAAAGAATGAATACGGTGCTTTAGATTGTGAGATCTAAGGATCAGGATTGCATCAAAATTAGGTGCACTAAAACGGTTTGAAAATGCATCATGTCGAAATGCACCAAAATCCTTTGAAAATGCACTATCTCAAAATATGAGTGCATGATGCAATCTGAGCCGCACGATGCATCAGATCCAAAGGCTAGAGTTTATTCTTATTTCTTTCACCAAGGTGCATTCTCACCTGAACCGGCCTATATATATATATATGTGTGTGTGTGTGTGTATGTATGTATATATCATAAGTTTTAATTCATAACTCATGTCATTTCATAAGATATACCATTGGATTTCTTTCTTTGAGACTTATACAATTATGATTATAAAATATTAACTTTAAAAAGTCTCTAATTTTTTGGTCTGAAACATTATTCACAATTTATCTAATTAAAATATAAATGTCTTTCTTAATGAGAAGTCAAGTTTTAACAAATTTTAAGTATTTTCTTTATTTTTTAAAAGTTGCCAACTCATTCTCAACAGTTGCCCAATCACCATTTAAAATGTCATGTTGAGGTGGGCACGGTCTAGTATTTTTGTAGAGCCCATACCATGTGATTATTTTTCAAACAATTTGGTACGATTTGATTTTAAGATTAAAAATGCAGTACCATGGCATTCCAATGTCAAACCATGTTTTATTGCTTTGATATTTAAAAAAATATTTTTTACTCACAAAAAACACTCAACAAAATAAAAGCATCAAGCACTAATATTTATATGCAGTCTTCATCACTAGTGTAATGTTTAGTTGTAATTTTTGAAACACGTAATACCAATTTCTTTTTTTCTATAAGACCTATTAATTCAATTGCAATAAACTAATTTAAGAGACTAATAAAATTAAGTAAGTTAAAGGTGCTCCAAAGAAAAAAGTAATAAAAATTTTACCGAGTAAAAAATAGCCAATGAAAATGTAAAATGTATATATACTCCCTCCGCCCTAAAAAAATCTTTCATCTTTTGAACAACATATAAAATAACATCTCTTTTAAGTTTATTTTATTTACAAATTGGTAAGAAAAAATATAAAGAAAAAAAATTACATATTTAAAAAGTATATCAAAGTTTCTACTCTGTACAAAATAAGTAGTAAAGAAAATATTTTATTTTATCAAATGGACCATGAAAAAATATATGCTAACAAAAGTTATTAGAAATCTGAACTAGTTAGTAAGCCTTTTTTTGGGGGGTAGAAGGAGTACGTTTTAAAATGTGCGAAAATGAATATTATCTTTATCTATACAATGATGTGCGGCAAAATGAACAGTATCCCACACAGTTTTCACTGCAAATTGGGCTGGCATTACTTGGCTGGGTGTAGGTAAATGTGTGCTATGAGGCCTATGATGGCACAACAGCCGTATATAACTATGAAGCCACATGCCGAGCGTAAAAGAAGTCTCTATTAAGTCCAATCAACATTTATTAAGTAGATTCAATAAATCTCTTTTTTTGCCTTTGTAGATGCACTTGCATCAATCTCATTAATGATCATGTCAGAGAAAGCTAATTTCTACACTATATATAGAGCACGAAGGGCGAAATCTTCCACAACATATCCCCATCTTCAAGGTTTTTTGCATTCTTTAAATGATTTCGTAGAAAAAACAATGAGCATGTGGAACATGCTCAATGAAGTCGACAACAGTCGCACAACCTAGATCCTAAAGTTACATGGAATTCGTGTCTATTTGCTCCAGGTTGGGAAAAAGGAGGTGATTCCAAGGAAGTTGTCTTCCATGGTGAACATGTATGCTTGCTATTTTTTCATATTCTTCATTGTAATGTACTTGTGTTAATTGTTGATGATTTATTGTAAATAACACTCAAAATCTTCTTCATTGTTTACAAGGGACAAAGATACACGCTCATCTTACAAAACTAGAAAATGCCCATTTTGAAAACCAAATCAGAGAAGATGGCATTTTTGTCATTAGAAATGTGTTTGTTCATGAAAATTACCTCTTATGCAAGAGAACAATACATTCACCTTTGATGGTTTTCTACAACAAAATCCAATTGAAAAATTCAGTAGAGATGACATCTCGAGAATAATGTTCGATTTAAAATCCTTTCTCATCATGCAGTCTCAATCATGCTTGAGTGATCAACCATTAATCGGTACAATTACTGTCTAAATGGTACTCCCTCTGTCCATCATAGATCTTCCCAATGGCCCTTTTTCTTTGTCCACAATAGATCTTCTCATTTCATTTTTTAACAAATAAAATGCCACAACTACCCCCACTTACTTTATTTATTACACCTCACCCACCTCATTTAATACACCCCACCCATTTTTCATTAAGGGTATTATGGTAAACTTTCACCTTTTTTCAACTTTCCTTAAAAACCACCAAAAGTCAAAATGAGAACATCTTAGGCGGACGGAGGGAGTATATCACAATAGGCGAACAGAATTGCCTTTTGATTTCATAAGCAAACATAATATTTACGCGCTCTCATTGTAGATGGTATTGGAAAAATACTTGGGCGTTCAAAAGTTCAAACACACATAAGAAGATGTGGTGAAGAGAAACTTCCTCCACAAGATCACCATAGAGAAAAGTGTTGGAATTAGTAGCAGCGTTTTCTCTCCCTTTCGTCGGACGAGTGCCTCAACCGAGGCTATTATTGCTGCCGGGAGTCCCACGGCTAGCACCACGACCCCCACGACCAGGTGTTCCACCACATGCGTGACCCTTACCCAAAGGTTATCCATGCAACAAGTTACAACGATCAACCAAGTGTTCATCCTTTCCACAATGAGTGCATGAATAATAAGGAGGGTCACCGTGATCAAAAGTTGGGTTCGGCCTTCACACGGCAACATCGTCGGTTCGATCATCCCTAGCATTGACAATACTTTTGTGGCACTCTTCTTGAATGATTAGTGCATAAGCCCGGTGTATATGTGGAGCCAATTCTGTGGCCAGAACTTGAGACCTGATGTGTCCAAACTACTCACCATCAAGTGCTAACAAAAAGTGTTGTGTTTTTCTTGTTCTTTCATGTGCCCGAATGAGAGCCACAGCTTCACAATGACATCCACACGTGGGATCAACCGAGCCATAAAGTTTATTCGATAGAGTCAAAAATTGGTTATAGTAAACCACAATTGTCTCGCCTTTTTTACATAGGGATTGAATGTCCGATTTCAATTGGTGAACGCGAGGTCCACTAGAACCCCCATAACGTGTCTTCAAATTTAACCACAATTCATGAGAACCTTAAGGAGAGATAATTGAAGGTTGAATGAACTTATCAACACTGTTACAGATCCAAGAGAAAATAGAATTATTGGCTTTCCAAGCCACAAGTTCCTGTTCATCAGTTTGTTTAAGAAAATCTATAGGAGTCAAAAAAACCTTCTCTGTAGCGTTCTTCCAACGCATTAACGATTTTTTTTCTCCCAAACATCATAATTATCACCCTTAAGTAAGTGTTTCGTAAGAGAATTACTCGCACTTTCTGAAGGATGGATGTAATAAGGAGAAGTTGGATCATGGATCAATTGTACCTTCTTGGTAGTTATTGTCGACATGTTCATCGAAGAGGAGGAGAGGCCGACGTGAGGCGGAATAAGAGACTAGGGAGCAGCCGAGATGAGCTGGAAAAAATAAGTAGCAACCAACGTGAGTCGATGTAGAGTCACCAACGTAAGGCAGTGATGAGTGACGTTCACCGGTGGCTGTAACACCCCAAAACACACCCCTAGTATTATTGAATTATTATTGAATTAAACAAAGTTGTTTCTAATTATAATAAATTATTGTTGAGCTTTGAAGTAGGCCCGCCCATTAGGGTGTTCTTGAGGTGCAATTGCACAGGGCCCCCAATTACAAGGGCCCATTTTTTATTTTACTTCCATTATACTCCCTCCTTAATTTAAATTCTATGTTTATTATTTACATGATTAAATTTTATTTTTTTCTTTTTTTATTAATTTAGTAAAATAATATAGGCATATCATATCTTGATTCGTAGAATTTTTTATATAATTTTTAAGTAAATAACTTTTATTTTTTAATTTAACATAATTTTTAAATAAATTGATGAAAAATAATTTCAATCAAGTAAATTCTGAAGTAAATAGTAATGGACAAATTAAATTATGACGGAAGAGGTAATAGAATAGGTAGTTGATTTTATTTTCACTCCCTCAAAATGTTTTAAGTTGCCTTTTTATTGAAATATTTTGTTGGTAGTTTTTTAACCACATAAAATTTTAATCTTCGTATTAATAAGTGTTGGAAAAATTCTACAGAAAGGACGAATTATGTTTTTTTTGAGGAAGAATGATATTTGAAATTAACCTTGTAACCAAGTTATCCTCACTTTTATTTTCTATATAAGTTATTATTCTTTTTCGTTATACATGTATTTGCTATTTTTCAGAATTATTCCATTCAAACTAGTTTATTCTATTGGTTCTTTCTTCTTTGATGTCTTTTAGCTAACAATTTTAATTTAAATGTTTACCAATAATAATAGAGATACTTTGAACTTTTGATGGAAATTGAACTTTTTAAGTCTGTAAATTCAAGTTATAATATATGCAATGAAATAAGACTAAAAAATATACTTTTGCATTTTCATACAAAGTACAAAATATACCCCGTAATTTTTAATTTTAGAGCCTAGAAATATAAAAATGCACAGGGCCTTCGATATTGATTGGGCGGGCCTGGTTTGAAGATATTTAGATATCCAATATCATAAATTATTGTTTAGCTTTGAAGATATTTAAAACTAAATATCATAATTCTGGATAAATCTCGTAGAGATAAATCCAAACTAAGATTTGTACGATTGATGTGAATTCTTAAATGATTTATTGAAATAATTCATTAGATTAAATGATATGAACTGAATATGAAATCTTTTGAATAAAAGATTAATAAAATCAATTTTGACTTTGTTAAAGTCAAACATCCAATAATAAGGTGTCCGATAAAGTATTACAAATAAATATAAAAATTATACCGTTGTGTAGAGTTTGAGTGTCTGGTCGCAATGGTACAATCAGATTTTAATTCGGAGGAAGTTAGACCAAAAAATGTACCCCGTCTGGGACCAAAATTAGTCCCAATCAAGGGAAGACATGTAAATCTTCAAACGGTGCCTCCGACTCCACTAACGCGATTCACGATGGAAGAGCATGTCTTCTTCTTCACAATTGCTATATAAGGGAGACCAAACTCTCCCCATTCTTCACCAATTCCTTTAATTCTTTCTTCTATTTTTACTTGGAGTGTCAGGAGTGCTGTGGTGATGTCCAGAGAGTGAGAGGTCACCAGAGTTGGTAGTAATCGCCATCGAAAGTTCTGCCAAAAAATTTCCAAAACCTCTATTTTAGCTTAAGGTATGCCATTAGATATATCTAGTGATTAGAATGTTCATAAGATCGTTTTTACGTTCATAAACGGTCGTTTGGTTAAGTTTTGTGTTTGCCATGCTCGAAGAATCAAAAATCAGAAACCTTGAAATTGTTGTTAAAAATTTGAATTAATGGTACCAAAATGATGTATGAATCTTGGATAACATTTCTATATAGTTTAATTGAAGTTTGGCGCCTTAAAAATGATGTTTTTGAAAATTAGATCGAGGTTAAAGATGAAGTACTATGCTCAATTTTGAACCAGGCACTATAACGGTAGCAACCTACCGCCAGACGGTAGCTAACTACCATTGGACGGTAGCATGGTAACGCTACCGTCTGGGCAGTACTAAGGTACCGTTCGCCGGTACCTAGGTACGATGACAGGTAGCACTTGATACGATGATTTTTCCACAAACCTAATTTTTGGTCTAAAAATACTATTTTTGATACCATACAACTATAGACTAGTAGGAATATCATTTTCAAACTAAATATGATGTTTGAATAAATTTAAGAGCTTTATTTGAGGCATGACAGTTTGCTAGGGTGTTAACACTCGACGCTAGGCCGCTATTTGTTATTAAATAGTATGATGATTGTTATTGATTGTTGATAATGATGACTGAACCTTGATTAAAAATAATATCCCGATTTAAATTTTAATTATGAATGATTAAGGCTATCTAGAAGAACTCTAAGATAGACCTCATATGACAAATCTATTTAGGCCTTGCGGGTATGATGTCCGGTAGCTCGGGTTAAAACGTACGTACCGGATCCATAAACCAAACTTGAGTATCTATTTGTTTTGAGGTGCCACCCCACCCGATAGTAGTCTGTTGTTTGGTTTTCTGCCTTAAAACTAATTATAGTTTAAGCGTCTAGCTATTATTTGCTTAAACTAATCATAGTTAAAGATTTTGATAATTAATTGTCTTAAACTAATTATAGTTTAAGAGTCTTGTTATTATATAGAATAGCCTTAAATTAGTCATTGTTTAAGAGTCGGTTATGAAAAAATGATTTAGCCTTAGGCTAAGAATAGTTTAAGAGCGGTTTTATAGTTTGGCCTTGGACTAAGAATAGTTTAAGAGCACTATTGATATTATGAGTATTGAATATCTAAATTGATTATTATGTTCACAATATCAAATGATTTGATTATGAATTGAGATTCAATTTATATGGATGTTCAATACATTAGATATCTTTACTCAACTTCAACATTGAGCGTATAATATGTTTTATTTTCTACACACAAGTAAAAAAATAAAGAACGATGTGATTGATCTCGGAAGCAGAAGGGGGAGAGAGTGTCGGGATGGATGTGATGGTTTTTAACTGTTATTTCAAAAGGGGTGAATTAATTATATTTTGTGGTTGTGATTTGTTAAGCTTTTGCAACATTGAAAACTCTATACTATTCCTGTTATGAATATTATTTTCTGGTGAATAAAACTATTTGAATTATTTTAAATTTTACGATTACCAAGAAAATAGTTTAGTTCAAAAGGGGCTGCAGACCTGGACGAATTAAGATGTTACAATTTGGTATTGGAGCAAATGGTTTTAAACCCGATATTCGGATCAAAATTTGATTTTAAAAAATCACATCCACGACTCTCGTATCCCTCTGCTCCAGGAAAGGTAATGAGAATTTATTTGATAAATATTGACTATATTAAATTCTCATTAGATGACAATTGTTAGTATTGAAATCATATCGAGTGTCGATTCAAGTCTAACTTTCGTACTCGACAAGAGACCATATGTTCTTAAAAAGCACGCATGATCCCATTGCAACTATAGTCCATTCAACTTATCGAGATTTTCACAACATCGTAAATGATCCTACCTATTAACAAAATCAAGAAATTTCCACAACAAACACAAATGATTATTGATGTAAATCTTTTTGTGTTTACAAATGTATTAACTTTTCTAATCTCTCGGTATTTGTTACTTTTATTCTTCTTCTAATGCAATCTCAAATTGTTTAGTAAACAATTAGCCCGTGCAACGCATAGGTTCGAGTCTAGTACTACTAACAATGAATATTTGACGAATGTAAAATTAAAATAAAAGTATTCAAAATAAATATTTGTTTGCTTAAAAGTGAGTCTTAATTAATTGAACATGGGTACAGCTGGTATGAATTATACGAATCAAACATAGTGTAAATCATTATGTGGAGTCTGACAGCAAGGAACTGATTGACCATAATCAATTGCTTCTGAGTTATTGTTCTTACTTTGACTCAATTGTCAATGGTTGTAAGCATCTTCGAGTCTTTTGCGAAGGAAATCTTATTTTTTAGTTTACACATTGCTCCACCAATGAGGTCATACATCTATTGGCACATGGTACACATTCTATGGGAAGTGTGGGGGAATGTGTTGAATCACCCTCGTATTTCATTTTAAACTTTTTCTTTCTAAAAAAGAGTGTAAATCCCTTTTTTCAAGTAAAAAAGCCCAAACTCATGTTTTCCACACAGGGCAGAGTGGAGAGAACACAAGAGCGCAAGAGCGATTGTAAGTTGTAACGCAACCCTCACCGCTTGCACCTAACTGACACATGCCTATGGACTGCCGTTTCCCTCCCACCTCGTTTGATTGAGATTCACGTTTCTTAGCGGCTTCATTCTTTTTGCGTTCTTCTCCAAGACCCGATTACTACATCCTTCTTACAACACCTTGGGGGGCATGTGGGTTAATTTTTCTTCACCTTTTTCTCAGCCTCTCAGGTATGGATAAATATATGAAGCCGCTTTTTGTTCCTGGCATTGATATTGGATCCGGGGTTTGGGAATCTGATTTCTCGTATATTTCATCAATGCCACATTTGGACCTTCAATTTTGGGATGATTTACCTTTAATTTAATGGGTATAAGGGGTTTGGTATTATCAACTTCATTTGTTCCTTTTCCTATGAAATTTTCCATCTGTTCGTATATTATAACTCATGGTATTAGATTGCATATGCATTTTGAGTTTGCTTGTATATTGTACTGTTTTAGCAGTATTGTAGCCAAGAGATCTCCGTTCAAAGTCATTTGTTAGTTTCAATAAATATGATTCAGTGAGTATGTTCATTACATTTTTGTTTCTTGTTTCCAGGAACTTTTTTCCACTAGTGCACGAGCTATGTTGATGGATATCATATTTTAGCAGAGATTCAGTTTCACGGTCATTGGCTGTTCATAATGGCAGTTGCTAGAAGGACCGCAATGGCATTTGAGACTTATCAAAATCAAGCACAGACATTGGTTAAGAACTATGTGCTATCTGACTCTTTTATTCCATACACGTCTGTCCTTAGTGGCATGATTGCTGGCAAAATGGTATATACAATTTATGTTCTATCTTTAAGTCTTTGATGAGTGAATTTTTTGAAATGCAATCTGTAATATGGCCTGATGTCTACTGCCCCCCACCCCTACCTTTTCCTGTATTATGATTTTGCCCTGGCTGTTCACAGGTCTATGATCTATCGCAGTTGATTAGTACATTTTACTTCAGAAGTTATATTAGCCTTACAAAGATTCAGCGGACTGAATGGAACAACCGGTAAGTTTCTGTTTCAATTTATTTGCTTACATGTTTTCTCCAACTTCTTATTGCTTTTACCATTCTCCTAAAAAAAAATCCCCGTGTTAATTTTTATTTTGCAGTGCTATGTCAACCATCCATGCCATCTTCATATCTGTTATGTCGTCGTACTTTGTCTTCTGGTCCGATCTCTTCTCTGAACATCGTTTGGTTGGGCTTCTGACATTCCAAAATTCATCAATGTCAACCTTTACATTAGGGGTAACTGTTGGTTAAAGTTGCAGAATTTCCTCTTAATTTGTATTATATTTTTAATTTAATGAACTGATTTGATTTTTAATGAATTTGATTCTATCAGGATAACATGCATATATTCATTTGTTTGTCCTTTTAGGAATTAAGATGGAAAAAATGATAGATTGTGGGATAATATACAAATGACTGTTACTCTGTAAGTTCCACAAATACAAAAGAGTAATGATGATTTGTTGATAAGGTTCGGCTGTTATTTTAATTATGTTGAAGCCTTGAAGGCAGTGTCATGAACTCTCCAACCATAAGATTAGTCATGCAGAACAGTGAAGAAACATCTCTTGCATGCTTGTCTCATTCCATTCTTATTTAATCTAATGTCAATGCAAACTAATCTTTGAGCAGTATACTTTTGGGTTGAATGTCTTGTGTGTTGGTCTTTAGATGCTAAAGAAGGTTTCGTGGAGTTTCTAGTACTTTAGCACTTCAAGTCTTTAACAACAGGAGAATATATACACATTCCTTATTACCATAAGCTTCTTCTTCATCATCCATGCACCTCTCCCCGATAAAGGAATAATACGGAAAGAGGATTTAGAGCTTGTTCTCATCAACTTGTTCTTAGTATTTATTACTTATTCTTATTGGAATCAAATCACACCGGATCAAATTAGAAACAGCTTTAAATATAACTACAATCAAGTCAGTTCGTACCTTAATAAAATCAGATCAGATCAAATGAAGAGAACAAGCTCATACTCAATAAACTTGCATATTATCTTGCACGTCCAATCTTTTCCTCCTCAGAAAACATGATCCTATGAGTACAATTCTACTTGAGGGATATCTCGGAAATTGTATTTCCTTCCCAGCTAAGGATTTATGTTGGCATGTTGCACGATCATATTGGTATCATATTAGATTACTTCTGCTTCTTGAAACAGAAGTAAAATTTCTGTAGATAAAAGATACTTAAAGAAATATGCTAGCTACTAGCATTTTTACATCTACCCAGTTCCTTTTTCATCGTCATCCTAACTCAAATCTTCTGCCAGAACAGGAAGAGGCTGAAAAGATAGATGGAGAGCTTTTATTCAAACTATGAAAGCTTTGCAAAGACCTGTTTTACGCCCTAGAGGCCCAAGAGGGCAAACTTGAGACCCTCCCCTCCCCCACCATAGCCTCCTTTTAAGCAACACAACTTACACATGCTGCAACACTTCTAATCTAGAGAAGATGGCGAAACAATTCTTGATTGATCAGGGCAGATCTTCAATCCCAGAAGATGAATTCAAAACCGTTCACCCACCTGAAGAGATTGTTGTTATCCGCAATGCACCAAACAGTTCTAAAATAATATGACAACATTGTGCAATCATTGGAGTACTTAGTAGTTAGTAGTCAAAGGACTCCCACCAATGAACACTATATCTTTTGAGGTCATCCTCCAATACACCAGTTCTTTTTCCACCTCCACTACTCCAATCAACAATTCTGCTTGCCTCGCTGCCTACACTGCCTGCAACACGGAAATGCAGCCTCTCTCACTTGAAAAAAATGCCTGAAATTTTATCCATTTTTGTTTTCAAAATGCCTCATTTGACCGTTATCTTTCATGGCCATTATTAAGGGATGGTGCTCACATTTGATTTGAGGGAGGTATTTCGGAAACAACCTCTCCACCCATCATAGGTAGAGGTAAGGTATGCATACATCATAACCTCCTTAGACCCCACTTGTAGGGTTACATTGGGTTGTTGTTGTTGTAGGTGATGATGGCAGTGCTCACTCATGATTTATTGCAACACTGCAGCAAGCTTTCGATCTTCTTCAAGAATACAAGGGTCACTAGCACTGTCTGCTGGTGCAATCATTCAACACCATTTTCAAGTTTCGTGCTTGAGGAGTAAGAACAAGCTTGATCTCCTGGAGGGGTGTAATGATATGGGCACACTAGTTGGGATTGACTAAGGATAAATATTCTTCTACCAACTCACTGTTGTTTACTCAGCCCACTCTGCCACAATCATAGGGTGAATTCGATCTGAAACTTATTCTTCTTTTGTTTCACATAGACCCATAACGCTTACTTCATCTCCACATCATAACAGTGGGTAATGCTGTCGAAGAAAGAATGCTGTCGAAGCAGCATATAGTACTGCACCCAGAGGAAGGCTGCACGGGGATGGCCAGATGGTGGTGGGTCTGTCCCTATTTTGCAATGTCCAATCACCTGAATTTGGTAATTAGGGACAACTTCTATTGGTCTGTGGCTTTGTCCTCAAACATCAGTTCTCAAGGAGAAGTTTCCTGCCTATCTTTTGGAAATGATAGACTTCTGAAACCAGTACTGTGCAGGGATGAGACACAAAAACCCTTTCTAAGAACAAGGCTTCCGGCTAGGGATTTTCTCTGAAACATGATGTAGCTACACCATACCATGGGTTGTCGGTGATCCAAATGTAAGACGAAAAAAGGGGATTGAAGCAGAGATTATTTACAAGAAATGACCAACGGAAAAGTAGAAGTAACTTTAAAGCACATACTCATAAGTATATTCAACAGTCCAACCGTTAGAGTCTAGAAATAGTCCTGTTCTAACTTGAGGCAAGGTTATGATTTCCTTCCCCAAGCATCTCATGATTTGAGAGCTGTGCACATTAAGGGGTGACATTTATTTCTAAAACAAAATAAAAGCTTATGTTTGACTGCTTCCATTGAATTGACATGAACTTTCACATATTTATGTTACAAAATCGACCTACATATATACTTAAGAGAAGTATGAAAGTCATTTACTCTTTAAGTATGTCTGAAAGTTCTCTTTATGATTTATTTGCTTGCTGACTTCCTTAACGGGCTAATTTTTCACCCATGCAATTCATCTAGTGTATGATTTGCTATATTTTATTTGACAGGTGTCTGTTGGGTACTTTATATCAGATCTTGGAATGATTTGCTGGCTTTATCCAGCTTTAGGTGGAGTTGAGTATGTAAGTATTCTTTTTGAAAAAATGGTGATGAGATCGATGCTCATTGTTACTAACAATGTAGATCTGCTGTAGTGGACTACTGGCTATATATTGCTATATACTAGTACTATCTTATTTTCATGCCATTTCTAGTCATCTGCATCAACTATATTGCTGGACACACAAGTGTATTACGGCGTATTCTTCACTCTGTAAAATCTTCATATAGATAATGAGCCATGTAGATAACTGTTATTTGGTCTACATTATAAAATCCATATAGAAATTCAATTAGCTTCTGACTGTATTTACGTGACAATTTGTAAATACGGACTATCAATTTTTGACACAACAAACACCTAAACTCATTAGATAATGAGCCATGTAGATCATTGTTGTTTGGTCTACATTATAAAATCCGTATAGAAACTCAAATAGCTTCTGATTATATTTGAATTTAAGTGACAACTTGTAAATGTTGAATATCTATTTTTGACACAACAAACACCTAAAATCATTAGTTCTCATTTCCTCCCAGTAGCTAGTGTTGTTATTTTTAATGATAAACTCCCCAGTAGGTGATATTCTACATCATTTATTTACTTATCGTTAATTATAAAGCAGTCGTTCATATGCTGTCTCACGAATCATTATCACTGGTACAGTGGCACCTTGAATACTCTCATATACTCCATACTTTTCATTATCACTTTTTTATCAGGAGAATATATCAGAAATAATGTATAGGTCATATACTGCGTGTGATTAACTTTAGTCTATTGTTAGTTATGACATCTCAAACAGTTCTACAATGCTGACTTAATCCCGATGTTTTGCAATGTTGTTTTGGTTGAAACACATTGCTTCATACTATCTGTCTCTATAGAATAAAGAGAGCATTAATGAAATCAAGAATGGGGATTAGTTAAGGGTAGTTTAGGTGTTAGACTACTTTTTTTCTTAAGATTCTAGGATATTCAATGAGTATTTTTCAGAATGGTTTATCCCTAAATGACATTTATTGCCAGTTTTTCAAATTTAGGCATCGACTTGGATTTAGTATGACCGATTTAGATTAAAATCACGCGTTTGGTTTGTATTCTAGAATAAAATTAGGGCCTGGTTCTCTTCCGAAGATGATAGTTCACATGGGCTTTAGCTTGAAGCTCTTGCAGTCACCATCGCCGACAGCCTTAGAGCGACTCAGGGTCAATGTAGGCCACCCGGTTCTATAATCGTTTCCATGTTTTTGGACTCTCCGGCATTCTGTGGTTTGCCCTCCCGGGGATGAACTTCCAAAGGTGCACCCTCCGGATTAGTCTCTCAATCAGGTTTGGTGGGTGTAGCAGTTGTCGGTGTTGTGATCATTCTTCTGGTGGTACTTATAGTACTTCTCGATCTCCTCAACATTGTATACTTTAGAGGAGAAAGCATGATACTAGAGGTCTAGACTATACCTTTGTGATATGTGCAATTCAAGGTCGCTCCAACTGATGAATCAGAGTGTGGCCAGCTTCTTCTCGTTGAAGCTAGACCTGAGAATCGGGTCAATCATTTTGGTTCTTGTTTGGATTTTAAGTTTATGTTATAACCAGTTGAGGTCTTTTTTGTTCATTTATATCCGAGTCCACTTTATTTTGGTTCTCTATATTTTTTGGCTCGATTCAATTAGAGATTGGGATGTGATCGGTTTTCAGTGGGAGTGGTAGAATGTGCTGCCTCAAGGATTCCGTTATCAGTGGCGGCCCTCCTGCTGTTAGTGTTTCTCGATTTTGTTCCTGTCATTGATCTCACAAGCACACTTGAGGGTCGATGCTTCAACTCACAATCAAGCACCAAATGATGGATATTCATCCACCAGAATTATGATGTAATATTTATAGTTTCATAAATTGTAAAATGAGAGAGAAGAAACAATATACTATCCTTTGTATATCAAGAGTACAATCCCTTCTCCAGGCTAGGAGAAGGTATATTTATACGGATCAAGAGGCCAACCAACCAAAAACGGCCTCCGAAATCACTGGAAGACATAAGAATATGGTCCATGGTCATGGGAGATCATGGGGGACGTTGGGGAGATCGTAGGTGATCCTCTTGTCTCCAAACCCTAACGTCTACCTCCACCTGCCACTTGGTAGATTCCTAGTCTCACATCCGGGTTGAGTTAGCCGAAGCCATTTCACTTGGGTCATATCCTCTCACCAAATGTGTGGGCTTTGATGGCCTGAGCCTAAATACAATATTAATTATAAAATAGACCATGTATATTGGGCCTCACTCACTATATATATTCGGTCCGGTCCCAATATACCCATCACGCTTTTATCCAAAGCACTTTTTAACACCATGTTAAACAAAAGGACATCCAACTGAGCCTTAACCAGGATTTAATCTTATTCTAGTCTGGTCTACTATGTGAATTTGGCTAAGTGAAACTGCTTTTAACAAAAAATACATCCATATGAGCTTTTACAAAAATTTAATCTTAATCTTGTTTTAAAAATCGAGTTCAGTCTACATGCAGATTTTGTTGACTAAATCAGTGCAAAGTAAATGGAATACACATGATCAACTTTTGGTTTATTCTCAGTTATGAAGCCTTAAAAGCATTACACAATAATGGGTTGATGCTTATGTTTTTTGGAGCTTCTAACTTGTGCCGTATTGTTAATGTACTGTATTATCAGACTATGCATGAGATATATAGTTCCGTCTCACAGTTGGATCACACATATACATCAATTGAGCCCCTCAACCAGACACAAACATGTAGCACTTGACGTCGTTAGCTAAGACTTGAACTTTAGGTAACTCGGTCAACTATGTGGACTAGGTTTTGACTGGCTAAATCACTAGAAGATAAAGGGATTATTTTTCAATTGGTTTTGTTTATTCTGTAGTTTCCAGACTTCTGATGTTGTCCAATAGTTTGTTACTTTAGAATAACTGACAATATTGTTCCTCACATTGTTTGCATTCTATTGTGAATCTCTAAAAAAATTGACTAGTGTAGGTGTACTTCTTTCCTCGCAGCACATTAAAATAGTCGTAATTGACAACGTTTTAGGTTCAGGTAGATAATGGACAAACTCAAAATGACACATTTTAACTTTCTTTGCTTCTTACATCAATGAAGTTTTGGGTAGCTAATGCAGCAATGCATCAATGATCTAACGGATATTGTCTCTGTATTTTACATGGGTAAGGCTGTGTATATCTTGACCCCAATGGAGTTGGGATTATACTTGGGTGTTTTTGTAGTATATCTATCTTTGAACTCTATCAAATAAGTATTGTTGAATATGCTTCTGCATGTCATGTATGTAGCTGTTGATTTTCAGGTTGTCCATCACGCTCTTTCAGGAATTGCTGTCGGATATTCGATGTTTACTGGAGAAGGGCAATTTTATACTTTCATGGTGCTCATATCTGAGTTGACAACACCAGAGATCAACTTGAGATGGTAAGTCTTCTAGAGTAAACTGACATTGACTTGTCTTGAAGCATGTCCCTAAACTCTCACTTACATTGCAGGTATCTCGACACAGCTGGATTGAAGAGATCAAATGCCTACTTGATCAATGGTGTTGCCATATTTTTTGCTTGGTTGGTGAGTTATCTTATCATTTTCTTATTTAGGAAAAAATATAAATCTGCTCATTCAACTGTAGATTCCCATCATATCATATACTCCCTCCGTCCCCCATAGATCTTCCCATTTGCCCTTTTTATTTGTACCACATAGATCTTCTCATTACCTTTTTTAACATTTAAAATACCACAACTACCCCACTTACTTTATTTATTACACCTTTTCCACCTTATTTAATACACCCCACCCATTTTCATTAAGGGTATTTTGGTAAACTTTCACCTTTTTTTACCTCTCCTTAAAAACCACAAAAAGTCAAAACGAGAAGATCTAAGGGGGACGGAGGGAGTACTAGTATTCTACTGCATAAACAAATAGGGAGCCGGAGCCCTTGGGATGTTAATTGTTAACAAATTTTTTTCAATCAGTAATGGAAAAAAGGTGTTTCCCTTCATATTTTCATATGGGATATTATTTTCTGGTTTGAACACCCTTCCTCTGTATTTCCCTTCATATTTATGTGAACACTTCAATGGGTTTTATAACAGATTATTTTATTTTGATTATTCTCATGAAGATATAGAGCATCACTTAACAATTATATATCACTCAATGCAGGCTGCCAGAATTCTGTTGTTTGTTTACATGTTTCGTCATGTTTACTACCACTATGATCAGGTAATTTCTGATTGTCCTACGCTCTCTTATGTATCTAAAAGATGCAGGTTGGCAGAATACTGTTTCCTAAATATTTAGTTGATGAAAAGAAACATACAAAATAGTCTTTAGTTTGTGATGTGCGAGGAGGATTTGTCATAGAGAACATGCTCTAGCATGCAGTGTGAATTATGTTACCAGAACACGAAAAATGTAGTGTGTGTACGACTGTATATTGCTTAAATTTTTACATTGTGTTGGGTGTTAGCTCAAAAACTTGACTGCAGTAGGGTAAGAAACTGTGATCTGAATTCTCAATGACCACCTAACCATGTGCCTTTTCACTATCTTGGTGCAAATATCCTGTCAACATTTCACCAACAAGGTAAAATTTCATCTATATCAGTGAAACACTGTTCATGCCCTGCTGGTTTATTGAAATGCCCAAGAAAATATTCCTCTTCGGTGTTAAAAAATGGTGAATTGGATTGTATTGAAAATTCCATGTTTGATTATTAGGTTTATGCTATTCCCGTTAAAAATGGTGCAATCGGGGGTTGGAGATGATCTCAGCGATCTAATGCATCATGCATGCAAGATAGATGCACACATCTCTCTCTCTCTCTCGGACATCGTTGGAATATACTTTGTGTCATTTTTCTTAATATTAAAAAATGAAGTGATAAAGGGTCGTCTTTACATTCACATTGCAGGTCGTCCAGATGCATCCCTTTGGAAATCTTTTGGTATTGGTAGTGCCAGCAATCCTTGGCATTATGAACCTGATGTGGTTTGGGAAAATTATGAAGGGATTGAAGAAGACATTGGCAAAGACACTGTAAATGAGATGGTTTGGGAAAATTGTGAAGGGATTGAAGAAGACATTGGCAAAGACATTGTAAATGAGATGTTTAGGATGATTTCTTCGCCGCCTTGGGTTAATACAATTTCCTAGCATCCTTTTTACATTGTACAGATACAAAACATTGGCGAGTAGGCATGGACTACAAGAGGAAAAAACCGCAAGCATACGGGGGATACACTAATGTTGTCTGTTACTCTAACCACTGGGGTTCCATAGATTACTCACTTTCTGTGTACTTATTTCATGTGTAAATGAAAGTTTCAGCAGAAAATACGAAGTTGGAAAATACACTATTTATGCGCGGTTTTGCAAATATATTTCAAATTTATTTTTGCTGCAAGTTGATTGTTCTTTTATTGTACATATTTGAAAAATGTCTAAATATATTTCAAATGTATTTATCAAAATGTCAATAAAATCATTTTAAAAGACATTAGATTTTGTACGTTTTTCAATAAGATGATAGTTTAAGAATTGAGAGAGTAAATGTTTTGTTCTTTGAGATGAAAATAGAAAAAAAAACATATTAAAATTAAAAAAAAAAGAAAAAAAACTAGAATAGTATTCTGTAACTTTTAGGGCAGGGGATAGTATTGGTAGGAAATAAGAGTGAAATGACAAAAGACGAATATCACTTCTAGTCGCATAAAGTTTTATGCTTTTCTAGAAGTTTACTATTTACGCGCTTTAAGTAATAATCGGGTTACAAGATAGAATTTTTGAGATAAAAATGTGTACAGGGTATCTTGAGTACTGACAAAATAACACCAAACATGTGATTTGTATATAGAATAGTCTAAATAGTTTTCATGCTATCACTGCAGTCTGTAGATAACAATAAAAAAACATAGGCAACAAGAGAAGAAATTTGTTCTACTTCTTGTCCGTTGTGACATTGGCACTGGCAACGCAACCTCACTATTTATGGCTTAATTAAATAACTTATAACTTGTACAATCCGTCAACCTAATAACTTATACAATCTTCATAACGGCTTAATTAACATTGCTGATGTCTTGGAAGCTAGTTTTAGTGTAATCTCGTACACTAAGCTCATCTTCCGTCCACAATATCTCAAAGATATGCTTTGCTCTTTGTAAGAACTCAATGATGTTCTTTAATTTCGTTCAGTGTGTATAGTAAATATTATTGATCCAATAGTTATCCAATAGTCATTCTAAATGGAATGATTCCGGGTGTTTTCTTAGGTCTTTAAAAGACTTTTCTTTTAGATCATTGACACAATTCCTCATAGTCATAGTAAATTTATTAAGGATTTTGTCTAAACATATGTACTTTGGTTCAATCCTAAGAACCTATTAAATCTACCTCTATAGATTCAAATATCAAGAGCATGACCATCATCTTCTGCGTCCTCTGTGGAGAATTTCTTACTCAACCAAGTGTGAGTATGAATATCATTCTCCGTGTGTAGTATTCTTGTTAACATTCAAGGCGAAGAAGATTTCAGTGCTCCCACTAGTCTTCTACAAGACTTATCATATACTCAATGAGCTCATAACTAATTATGATTAAATTCACATTTTTCTCCTTGAGGATTGCCTTAATCAATAGATATATCAAAATATATCTAAGCATTTAAGCTTTTCTCACGTCGAGGGACGTTTAGACACTAGAATTTATGTTTTAGTCCTAAAGTATGACACTATAAGGCATACGCTCATCCAGCATCATATTCTTTCCACGAGTCTTGATTAAGAGTATCTATCCTTTTGTTCATATCAAAATATATTAATGCTTCCAAAAAAATTTCTTTCAACTTCATTCAAAAGTCTGTCAAACAATTTGAAAACTCTTGATATGTTCTTCGTAAGAATCATATGTCATGTTTATCCAAGAAATTAATAAACATGATGAAGTATGAATATTCAACATTTGCTATTTTGGGAAGGTCCATGTGCATCGATATGTATATCAGAATCACATGTTTCATTTGATTCAAAACCATATGATCCCATTATCGTCGACGGATCTTGAAATGGGAATTCTTTACTCGTTTGTTTAGCCTACACAATTAGGCTAATGTCAAACAAAATCTAAATTGTTTGGTTGGGATCTTTTGGTAAAACCATTGTATATGCGGGTATACTTTCACAATAAAGTATATAGATCATTTGGCCAATTTAGCATAAGACATATCATTTCTATAAATGGATCAACAATTTGTCCTTTATTCGTAATAATAAAACAATCAAAACATGATATAGTATCTTGCTAAAAACAAAACAAACCATTTTTCAATTAAATAATTAAAAACAGATCAAACGATAAAAATTAAAATATGATATCAAAACTGCAACACTTGCACCCATCGATCAATCATGTCCAATTCTCCTCGAGCTAACCATCTACTTTTCCTTAGTCCCTACAACGATTTGCATTTCTAAGTATCATATACCTACAAAAGGTTGTAGATTTTCTATGCCCAAATAAAAATTGTACCTAAAGCAAAGGCGTCACCTTCCTTCTTCTTAGAAGCTAGGTAATCTTTACACTTCCTCCTCCAGTGGCCTTGTTTGCCACAATGATGACATATGGAGTCTTTCACTACTCCATCTTTTGGCTTAAGGTTAGAAGATGTAACATCCTAATCTGTCTAGGTCTGCAGCCCGTTTCTGACTAAAGTATTAACTGGGTAATCGTAAAAATTTAAACCATTTCAAAACTTTTATTTATCACAATAATATTTTTTATAACATAATAGTACGGAGTTTTCAATATTGCGGAAGCTTAACAAATCATAATCACCAACATAATTTATTTATGTTCTTCAATTCAAAACAATCACATCCATTTTGACAATCTCGCCCCCGTCTGCCTCCAGGATCACGTTACATCATTCTTTCTATTACCCTGCGTGTAACAAATAAAACATACTACACGTTCAACGTTGAAGCTGAGTAAGCATATCTAATGCATCGAACATCCATATAAATTGAATCTCAATTCATAATAAAATCATTTAATATCATGCACATAATGTTCAGTTCATATATCTAAAGCGTCAAACATCCATATAAATTGAATCTCAATTCATAATCGAATCATTTGATATCATGCACGTAATGTTCAGTTCAAATATTCTCTATTCAACATTCATCATTCTGTTAGACAATGTGTGCAACTCTAGAGGGGGTGAATAGAGTTGTTGAGAATGTTTACCGATTTTTGTAGGATTAAATAAGATAAACGTAAGTGCAGCGAAAATAAAAGAGAGAAGGCAAAGAACACACCGATATATACTGGTTCACCATCTCATGGCTAGTCCAGTTCCTCGAGAGACTCTCTCGAAGCTACCACTACTTATCAAGCTTCAACGGGTGCTTGACAAACTGTTTACAAACCGAGAACTTGAATCCCACAAGTCTCAACACAACCGCTCGTAGATGTGCTCTCTACAAGACTTCACACCCAAGACTTAAATCACATAAGTCTTGTACAACAAAAAGAATAACCTTTTTCAACCTCACAACAAAACTCTCACAAGAGTAGAAATGAGAAAATGATTAAGCTCTATGGATGACAAAACACTCTTTTGAAAATAAATTGTTTTCTCTCAAAATAAATTATATTTGAGGAAGGAATTGATGGAAGATTAATACCACAAGAAAGAGATGTTTTTAGAGTGTTTCAAGTTGCTAAAAATTACCAAGGAAGAGGGGTTTAAATAGGGTAAAGAGAATATGTCCGTTGATCCAAAAAAAGAGGTGATATATATATATATGTGTGTGTGTATGTATGTATATATGTATGTATGTATGTAGATATGTATGTATATGTGTGTGTGTGTCTATATATATATATATATATATATATATATATATATATATATATATATATATATATATATATATATATATATAGTAGGATATATACAAATTACAAGTCTCCTAACTATGGTAGGATATAAACAAGGAAAGCCTATACAAAGGAAACATACCATATATAAAAGATATTAAATATATTTAACAAAAGGACCTGGATAATTGTATTGCTCATGCAAAAATGGTTTGAACGGCTTTGCCCTCATCCTCTTCCGATCGATTTTTAGTGCAAAATAGGTCTGAAGTCCATACAAATTTGGGGTTGTGAGAAGAAATTTCTAGTAGTGAAATGTAAACATTCTTTTGAGTGAAAATCCAACAAAATCCATAGAGTATTAAAACTCATATATTTTTGAATACCTCAAAATTTTTAAAGACTTTTGAAAATCTAAATTGAATAATTTAATATTTTTAAAGACTTTGAAAAATCTTTATTGAATACCCCAAGATTTTTAAAAACTTTTAAAAGTCTAAATTGAATACATTCAGATTTTAAAAATCTAAAAAAATCCAACAAACTCCCAATTAAATACACCTCCTAAGATACATAAATTTTGTGTTTTTTGTTTTTGGAAATTGGGTATTGAAATTGCTTGCAAGCTAAAACATTTCAAAGAACAAGAGTAGTGACAGGACCCGACTCGCACCACCTGACCACCACCACTACGCTGTACCCTTTGTAGCTGACTCTGAGATTCATGATGGTTTAGGCCACGTTCAGACACAATCTGTCCATTATCTCCGCGATTCGGATCACGCCCGCACTATGCGTATGCATGTGCATCACCTTGTTGTTTACGGTCTTTAGATCTTGACGGGGAAGATGGAATCGCAGCCTTCCTCTTCGTCGGGAAGGTTCGAAGCTCAAGAAAGTTTCAACGCTAAGATATCAAGAACGGTTTCGGATTCCAACAACCATAGCCAGAGCTTAGCTTCAATTCTTAACAATCCTCATGGTGGGAAGTCTGACGGCTGGTGGTGGTCTGCCTCGGCGCCTATCCCAGTCCCTGAATTTGCCCAACTTCCACCTCCGCCCAAACCCGGATCTGATATCGCCCGACCCGATTTCGTTCCATACATGTCCTCCATTTCCGACCAGTATGCCCGTTTCCACGACATCCAACAACACAGTAAGTTTGAGTCCCTTGAGGGACAGAAAGGTGAGAATGCGCTTGTTGCCTGCCTACGGGAAGTTCCAGCACTTTACTTTAAGGAGGATTTTCAATTGGAGGAGGGTGCCACGTTCAAGGCAGCCTGCCCCTTCAGGACCACGGCCGAGAATTTGGTGCTGCAAGAGAAGCTCTCACAGTATTTGGATGTAGTGGAATTGCACTTAGTGCGGGAGATTTCGTTGCGCTCGAGCTCTTTTTTTGAAGCTCAGGGTCAACTGGAGGACCTAAATGCCAAGATTGTTGGAGGGTGTATAAGATTACGAGAACTTAAGGAGTCCATACGGCTGCTGGACGGAAATTTGGTGGGATCTGCAAGAAAGGTCCATGAGTTAAATGAGCAGAGGGGAGACTTGGTTTCTCTCCATAACAAATTGAGGCTCATACTATATGTTAATCAAGCTCTTTCTACTCTAAAGTTGGTATGCTCTAAATTTTAGCAGCATTATGTATTTATGTTAGACTTTGCTCTCTATACTTGCTTTACTAAAATTCAACAAAAAAATATGTTTGCATTGTGATTAAAAGCAAATATTAGACGGTGGGTGGAAATCTCTCTAGTAGTGAGGTCGGGATGATCATAATCATTGAATGGCTATTTTTAGATCGAAAGCAAGATGACTTGGGCTGTTGATAAAGCCCCACAGCAGGGTTGCTGTTATTTTCACACAACAGCCCCTTAGTTTTAGAAAAACTAAGAGAGTTTTTTTGTCCATCTTCTCCGATGGAGCCAAAAATTCACTATTTTTTGACTTTGGGGTGTGATGAAATAAAGCAAAATGGGATCTCTAAATTGTCTGCGCTTTTTTAATTAATGAAGTAGTAGTTAGTCAATCAATGCAACTTTTGACGTTGAGCTAGGGCCTCTTTGGAAATAGCCTCGCTACTTTCGAGTAGGGGTAAGGTCTGCATGCACACACCCTCCCCAAACCCTACTCTTGTGGGATTCAACTGGGTTGTTGTTGTAAGAGAGTTTCTTTATTTAAGAGAATTTATAGGCAAGAATGGTGAAAGGACCATACATTTCATCTTGTTCCTAGAAAATCTGATACTCTGAAGCCGTTTTTACTTAAATGGAAATATGGAAAATGAAGAATGTCTTCACCTAGTTTTGGAAATAGAAAAAAGAATGGAAAAAGTGGTAGGAGAAGAAATGAAAACACAGGTAGACAGGTAGATACCATGCACCTTTATTTGCTATCAGTAAATAGTTTTATTTTGCTAATCTTTAATTTTTTTAGTGGGACCACAACCACATTTTGGATATGGAAAAGGAAATTTTGGAAAATGATGAAGTGAACATATGATTTTCAAAAATGAACGAATTTCTCCAAAAAAAAAATGGCCTAACTTTTCTGCAGATCTTAAAAGCCTAGCTAGAGCCATATCTGAATCTTCAGCTCGAAAAAGAGGTTCAATCCCGCATTTTAGCTGTAGAAGATTTTGTACCCTAAGAAAATAAATAAAGATAACAAGTAGCACCTGTAAACATCAAGTTGTGTGTGGATTTCTGCCGTGCAACAACACCATAGATATCCATTATTTGGTTTGACTGAAAGCTTGTAATATTGGAAGAGTATATTCTTAAGATGTTTCAGCCCCTTTCGTTGTAATGTGGTTCCATATTAACATTTCAAATTATGAGATATTCTTTTATGTCAAATAATTGACGCAGATTTCTCAACCACTAATCTATTCATTAAAATTAAGAGAAAGCACAAGGCATTGAGAAGCATCAAAGGGAAACTGTACAGCATCAAACACAGATTTCTCAACCACGCAGATTTCTCAACCACTAATCTATTCATAACTACGTACCACAAGGCATTTTCTTTGTCTGGAAGCATCAAAGGGAAACTGTACAGCTTCCCCTATGTCAACACTGACTACATGACAGAGATCTATTGGTCTTATTCTTATTGAGCACCTTGTGAGTGCGATCCTGTATAATTACAAAGTGTATTATTATATAAGATGAATAGGAGAGTATACTCTTATCTTTATGGATAATATATGTTCATTTTAAGAGTCTATCTAGTTGGAGTGTTTATAGGTGAATTTTTCCAGTAAAAATTACTATTGTACTGTTTTGTCTTTAGAAGGTTATTCTTTCAGAACTAATACATAAAGCTCTGATTATTTCACTCAATATTTCAATTGTAAAATTTAAGGGGGTTGCATAATAGTATAATAAATAATACTCCCTCCGTCCTAAAATTATCTTCCCATTCACTTATTTAATAAAATAATATAGTCATGTGACCTCTAGTTTCTTATTATATTCTCCCATTCACTTATTTGATACTCCCTCCGTCCAAGTTGAAACTTCCCATTTGGATATGGCACAAATTTTAATGTAAGATGAAAAATGCATTGACTTTCCACTTTTATTCTCCCTCTTTTCGCATCAGTGCCCATGCCCTGTGTAGTGTCTCTAAATTTACCAATTCATCTCTTCTTCATGAAGTTCAAAATATCTTCTTTTTCAACAAGTTAAAAATTAAAATAACATTACAAATAAAATCAAAATAAAAAAAATCAACTTTAGGGTTGCGATTAATAAAACAAGGCGATGAGCTGATGAAGAAAGCCAAAATGAAATCTAAGATTTTTACTCAATCACCGCCGCCCCTGTGTCTCCCACCATTCCCGACCCTTTTTGTCTTGCGTCGCCTCTCATCTGGTCATAGAGGCAAGAAACTGCTGGAAATCATGCCATAATTTCGAGTCTGCATAAGCCGATGACCAATAGCGCGGTGGAGATAAGTTGATGGAAATTGGAGAGAAGAGGGATGAGGGTGGAGATATGAAGAGATATATTATTTGGAGGGGGTGGGTGGTAGTCGGAAGAAGAAGAAGATGTGGGGGCGGTGTGATGGAGAAGAAGAAGGAGAAAGGGGTTGGGGAGAAGAAGAGGAAAGAGAGAAAAAAAGGGGATGAGGTCTGACCGAAAAAAGAAAGAAAGAAAGAAAGAAGAAAAGGGAGTAGGTGGGGGAGAGAAAAAGGAGGGGTAAAAGGGTAAGTTTAGATGTTTTTTAGTTCCATTTTAGGAAACGGGAAGAATCAAATGGGACGACTTAAAAAGGAAAGTGAGAAGAAAGATATGGGATGGAGGGAGTAAAATTATATAGTCATGTCACCTCAGTGAATAGTGAATGGAAAGATAATTTTAGGATGGAGGGTGTATTATTTATTTTACTATTATTATTATTATTATTATTATTTGTTTCTATACTAAATATTATCAGTAGTATTATTATTACTATTATTATTGTTGTTGTGTTTGTTTTTGTTATTTTTATTATTAAGTTTCTTTAGTTCAGATCTATTCAATTCAGTACTTGTAACCCTGGTGTATTACCATTCAATTCATTTGAGATAAGCTTCAGTAAACGGCCCTTACTAGTAGGGCCATAGCGAGTCAGTAATTCCTTTGTATGGGGAATTGCGAGTAACAGAGTATCTAAATTTGTATAACTGGATCTCTGAATTGAACCTTGCAATTTGCCATTTGGGTAACTCACTGATTAATGTACTTCGAAGTATGAATTAGCATTTCTAGAATTTGTATTGAGGAGTGAGTTATTTAACTAGAAATTCTCTTCATGTTTGGTATTAGGCTAACCCGAAATTCACTCTTTTCATGCAGCTTGTTGCGTCTGCAGATTGTGCTGGAGCTTTAGATGTAACTGATGATTTGCAGCATTTGTTGGTATATTTGCAGTTGGTCATATATCTTCTAGTTTATATTTACTCTTGAGTTTAGAACATTAGTTACTGGTTCAGATAGTATTATTATTAGTATTATTACTTTTACCATATTATTTTTATTACTATTATTATTATTATTATTATTATTACTACTACCATATTATTATTATTATTACGGAGTATTATTCTTTTTATTATTATTATTATTATTCTTTTTCTTGTTATTATTATTATTATTATTATTATGCAATGGTTGTTTATTAGCTTGACATAATATGTTTTGAAATATTCACAGAAAAATCCAGTTGTGTTTATTGAGGTAGTAATTAAGTTCGTTGATTATTTCCTGTTTGATAGGATGAGGATGCATTGGCTGGTCTCCACTGCTTCCGCCACCTTCGTGATCAACTAGCTGCTTCAATTGACTCCATTAACAGGTTCGGCTGCTATATGTTTTATCATCTGTTTAGAAATAACTGAATACTTGTGATGAAGTTATTATTAATTTAGCTTGCTTGGCTTCTCTGGTGTTCCACAATTATTATTTTCTAATTTTATGTTAAAAGCATGTCAAGGTTAATGAGGCTTAATTTGTTTAGAATGATTGTGTTGTAAGGATATAAGGTAGGTTGTGCATCTTTTTGTAGTTGATAGAGCTGTGCTTCTTTTTAATGTAATAACAACTGCAATGATTCTTTTCAATGGATAGTGGTTTTGAACAACGGATAGCTTTGTTACTGTTTTAGAACTTCCCGGTGCCTTCTTCCATTTCACAACTCTTTTTAGTCAAGAAATGCCAAAACCTTAGAATAAGTGGTGCTAGTGTGTTAATCTTTGTTTGTTACCTACAAGACGATATAAATCTGCACCTACACTCTTTAAAAGTGCTAACCTGATAACCACTTCACCATATGCCATGGGTTCAAGGATCAAGGCCTAGAACAGCATTGACACTTCTCGTCTCAAATGGCCATATCTTAATGCATAGCTATTTGTGAGTTACTGCTCAAGTGGTTTCTGAAATTTCGTTTTTTATTTTAAAAGTATATCTCTCTGGAAATAATATTATGCTTCAGACCCCTTCATTACATTGTATCCAACCAAGAAATGAAAAAAGAACTATTCCATATGTGTGTATATACACTCATAAAAAACAAGTATGTACATATATACATTGGTTTCATGACTTAACGAATTCAGTATTGTAGCATTCTTTCAGCAGAATTTATGTGTACGTCTATACACCAATCCGGATACATGGATGCATCAATAACATCAAAGTTTAAAGCTCAAGGAACTATAGCTATGAATGGAGATGAAAATGAAGTAAGTGCGGTGTTGTATACGTGTTCCTCATTGAAAGCACTTATCATTTACCCATCATTTTTGTATAAATTTGTTGCTAGATAGTTATAGTCAAGATTTTAAATGCTTCAACACTATTGTTTTGAAAGGCTGAGAGGCGGGTTATCAAAAGGTGTACTGCGCAAAATTAAACGGAGAGAGAGAGAGAGAGAGAGTAGTCCTTCGTAAAAATTATTTCCCTAAGTAGTCCTCCGTAAAAAAATTCACTTAAATGGCGTTAAATTGGAGGGTGTTTTGGTATTTCTTTTATCTAAAATTCTAAACTTAGGGGGGTGTATTTAATCAGGTGTTCAATTAGATTTAAAAATCATTTAAAATCTAAAGGTATTCAATTGAGATTTTGAAAAATATTTCTAAATCTAATAATACTTAAAATTGATAGATTCTCAATGATTGTTATAAAATATGGATTGTGATGGATTTTTGGCTTTGAGCATAAATAAAAACCTTGTTTGCAAATCCAACCAAAACCCCTAAGATTTTGTAAAATCCTATCCTTTTCTCTTCCGCATGCAATGTTCATCCTTCTAATTGCCGCACAATCTAGACAACCTCAGCGAAATATGCGATCGGAGAAATATGGATCTATGCAGCTTGAGAGATTCGTTGTGGTGACATGATCAATTCAATCAATGTTTGATATTGAATAATTGCAATTTGCTCGAGCCTCAATTATGCTATGCTTGGTATTCAACTTTGCAGCAAAAGTAAGAAATTGGTGGCGCCAACGAGGGTTCGACAACAGTGGCGGCGAATCTGGGTGGTGAGAGTGGTGGCTGCTTGGTAGCTGAACCGGCAGAGGAATGAAACAAGAACAAAAAGAAAAGGCTGCGACGACCAGGGTTCTTGTGGAGGAAGAAAGAAAAAAGGAAAATAAAAAGATACGGAGTAAAAGAAAAGAAAAAGGAAAAAAGAAAAGAAAAAGAAAAAAAACAGTGTTAGAATTATTAAAATAATTCAAATATATGTATAAATAATCCATGGATCATAAATAATTTGCTAGAATCCTATTAAATCTTGTTGATAAAATACATTAAAATCTATCTAATTCTGTGTAAACTTAAAATAATCCATTGACTTTAAAGAATCCATGGATTCAAAACAATCTATCAAAAATTTAGAATCTTTAAAATCTGGATTAAATACACCCCTTTAAAGTAAATTTTAAAAATGGGCATTTCTATTCAATTTCATATAAAAATTAAAAAATCACTGACTAATGACTACACATAATCCATTAGTTATTAAAACTCTATAATTTTTTATAAGTTTTGAATCAATACACCTCCTTAATTATAAAAGACCATTTTGGAAAAACTCTTCATTAGAAATGATCATTTAGAGAACTTACTCTAAGTTTAGATGATAAAAAGTACCAAAACACTCTCCACTTAATTCACACTAATGTGACATTTTCTACAGAGGATATAGGGAATAAATCTCAATTATGAAGTACCACATAGATAATTAGAACTTATTGAGGATTGATTTTAGAAAATACCCTATTAGAAAAGACCATTTTGGAAATTTACTCTCTCTCTCTCTCTCTCTATATATATATATATGTATGTATGTTTGGTTCAAATTAGGTTGAATACACCACTAGAGGAATGATAATGCATATGAGTTGATAAAAATCTTTAAAAAACTTGATCTCATATTGGTTAATAAGTTGAATTCTCTGAACTCTATTCATAAATGCACACCACGATGAACTGTTCATATGGCCCGGGTAAGAATTACTCTTTAACTAAAAAATGAGAATGAAACATTCTTAGTACAAATAGTTAGTCTTTAAATTAATATTAATCACGGTGTTACTAAATTAAATACCCTTTATAACTAGTGTTTTAGGATTATTTTGTGAAGGCTTAGCAGCTCTCGTTATTGATCTTTGAATAAAATCGACAAAGCATCTAATTGTCCACCCTAGATGACATGTAAAAATAGGGAATATACTAAATGCACTCTAAACCTATCATTTCACAAAAGATGCCATGTTATGTTTTATAGTTCCGCTATTGAAATGTACAAAAAGCATGTAAATATCCCTTTAAAATCCCCGCCTACATATCTGTCTGCCTGCCTAGGTGAGGGCTGGTCAGGCATCTGACTAAACTTTAGCAAAATGTGAAATGATGTCCATACTTTGATTGTATTAGAATGATGAATGGTCAGTCTCTTTCGCCGGCTTATTGTTGTGAAGGTGTGCATCGCACAATTCTTATAACATCTTTGGTGGCTTGGTGCATTGCAGGTTACATTGAATGAAGAAGAAAGCTCCAATCTCCGAGATCGGCTTCTTCCTCTTGTTATTGGATTGCTTAGAACTGTGAGTATTCTTTACATGGTGAAGTGTTGAAGCATCATAATAATTGATGTTTATCAAGAGTATGCAATTAGCTAATACGTGCATTGCTACAATTTTAATATATGTGGCAGAATAGAAATATGATTCCTCTCTGTGATCCCAAGAGAAGAATGCCCAGTATAAATGTAACTCCTGAGGACCGATCATGATTTATGAGCAATATTTGCAAATATCTGATGTTGGTGTAAAGCAGAATGGATTTCGATTGAACATATGGGCTAGTAATTAATCTAATTATATTGTGTTGAAAGTTGGGATTTGAATAGTGGGTAATTGGTAATGGGCTGACAGTTAAAATTGTGACTTCCCATTATTTGAACTACCACAAACTCTTAACCAATATTGGACTGAATGAATTGGCTGCGTCTAAGGCCTTTTTTTGTTTGTTGTTTATCATGGTCATCCAAGGTATATAAAATTGATAACCATGTTTGTTTCTAGTTTTAATTCCATGATATGATTTTCGATGGTAAATTACCATTGGCAATTCATGGTTATGGGTTTTCTAAAGATTTTTAAAACACCGATTTGGTGGTTTTCCATATTCAATTTCCATTATTTATTATAATCCTATCACACCCCATGCTATCAAAGAAAACAGTAATATTGAATGGTAATCTCTATTATACTCCTAATAGCTTTATATACATACAAGTCAAATATCAAAGCATAACCATCTTGTACCTAATCTAAACAATGCCTAAATGTATGCACACAAAGTTAAAGCAGATTCTTTAACTTGTTTAGCAGTATTGGGTACACTCAACCTTGAAAAGATTCTTTTTCTCCATCTTTCTTTTCTGTTTGCATGTGTGCTTATCTTCAAGTGCATGTATCACAAGGCCTTAATTTACCTTTCCATTGTTTTCCATTAACTTTCTATGTTTGACATTTTAAAACATGATATCTGTTATATAGATGTTGCTAAAGGATGTTATTTTGATTTATCATTTGATTTTTAGGCAAAACTCCCTGCTGTATTGAGGATGTATCGTGATACTCTTACAGCGGATATGAAAACAGTTATTAAGATGGCAGTTGAAGAGCTGCTTCCAGTTCTTGGCGCTCAACCTCTTGATTCTGATTTTGTCACTGGAGAGCTAGCTGGAGAAACAGAGGGTAGACAGACTTTTTCCATGTTCCATTTTCATAGCTACTCGACTAAACTGAACAGAGTTAATTGTCATAGAAACGAATGCCTGTGGTAGATATCTTTCCCACTGTTGCACATAGGCAGGTTCTTTCACTGGAAATGAAAATACAATTGTACATTCTGCGAATTGCTTAGTATTCCATCTCATCATTGGGATGAAGATGAGATACCTTGAAAGCTTTTTACTAATTGAGTAAAGTGCCTTGATGTTTGGAAAGCGGGCGGACCTTATTAATTTTTAACCGAATTTGTATGCTGGCTCAGGTGGAGGCTCATCACTGGCAAGCAGGTTGAGGAGCCTGTCTCCTGAAAGTTTCGTTCAACTTTTGAGAGCAGTTTTCATGATAGTTCAGGTAATGTATGCATATCCACGTTGTCTTCATTATCCTATGCCCTTTATTTGTTTTCATTTAGCATCATTGTTAGTTGCTTATTGTCTGGCAATTTATTGCATAAGGATGCCCCCAGATACACACACAAAGAGTCACACACGCGCACACATATATATTATGGTCAGAAGAAGAAATTTTTTTATGATTGAAAATTTTATTAAAGTGAATGAGTAATAAAGTCGGGAGGAGAACCAAGTCAACCAACCCACTCTCCCAAACTCTGAGGTAGATGAGAAGCTCGCGCTAACAGATACACGGTCTCATTAGCAGAGCGGTAAACAAAATGATAGACTACATCTTTGCCATAATCGGCCAAAAGATGTTTACAATCGAGAATAATTGAAAAGAAATATGACCAGTCATGAGTTGTAGTTGTCAGAGCATCAACCACTTCCTTACAATCAGTCTCTAAAATAACTTGTCGCCAACCGTTAGTTTTAATCCAGCTCAATGCTTCTCTAACAGCTATAGCTTCCGCTTCTCGAGGTCCAAAGCTTCCTCTACAGTTAAAGTTTTTTGCTGCCACAAATGTGCCATTATGATCTTGAATCTCAACCAAGAAAACCAACAGTAACAGCATCATCAACAAGACCTGTAGACGCATCCACATTAACTTTTAGGAAATCAGACGGCGGAGAAACCCAGACTCCCTGATTGGTCGGAATTCCTCCATCCACATTCAGAGGCCTAGCCACCTGCCACCATTCCTCGAAGCTCCGCCTGGCTTTGATCCACGTGTTCAAAGCTGTTGGGTTCTCGCCGTGCCAGACATGACCATTTCTGTCTTACCATATAACCCACAAACTATGAAGAGCAAGGGCTTGATCTTGAGAATTGAATAAATTAAAAACTGCATTAAACCACTGTTTGAAAGTTCCAGCAGTTGGTACAAACCAGCCCAGGTGATGAGGTGAGAAGAAGCCCAAACACTATGAGCAAATCTGCAGGTAACAAAAACATGGAACACAGACTCCTCTGCTGCATAGCACAAGGGACAAACATCCAAAACATTGACATGTTTCTTGACTAAATTGGTTAAACAAGGGAGCACATCATTTACCGCACGCCAGGCCAAATTCCTCACTTTTGGGAGCACGCGAATCTGCCAAAGCTTCCTCCATATTTCATGTTCAGCTTCCGGAACCTGCTGCCCATCTTCATGCATGAGAAGTTTGCACTTTTCACAGAATATTTACCAGATTTGTCATTGGTCCATACCAGCATGTCTTCATGTTCCTTGCATAGTTGTATGGCGAGTGGCGGGCGAGAGGTCCTTTTTTATGGCGAGAGGCGGGCAGTCAAATGGCGAATATATATATATATATATATATATGTATGTATGTATGTATATATATATGTATATATATATATATATAATGTTTTAGTCTTAACGTTTAGTATTAACTCTTAAACAAACATAATTATCAAAGTAAAACATGAGTTGTTGGTAAAACAAAAATCAAAGTTATCAAACCAATGTTCCAAGCTATTAGTCATTAAGCATTGCAAAATATAGTACTTAAAAAGAAAGAAACAGAAATAATTAGTACAAAAAATAATATCTATAAGAATATAATAATACACATAGTGAAAAAGAATAAGACTAGAAAAAACAAAAAATAATTAGTGACATAAATACATAATCTGTGACCTGCAGTTGTGTCAATCAAGAAAGCAAGACACTAAACAAAATCTGAAAAACATAATAATTATAATAATCATCATCATTACATATTATATGCGTTAAAAAATCAATTAAAAACAGGGGAATGTACCTAAATGGTACTAAAACATAGTGACTTTCCCAATCACTCTGTAGGTCATGAGTGAAAGAATTTTGCATTGCGATATCCATCTGTCAACCAAAATTCCTTAGCCCGTTGCTTCCAAAATTGCTCCTTTTGTGCATAGAGATAAAAAAGCAGCTGCCTAGAATGTTGAAACAACAACCTACTGTGATGATCTGTGTGTCCTATGTAATTTGTCATGTTAGATCTCATCAAGTTGATTTCCCGAGCAAACCTTTCTTTCCATTCAACATCCCAGACATATAGACGTTCCGCGCAGAAATGAAGCTTCTGTTCTAATGAACCTCATATGAAACTTGCAAACTGTCTAGAACCAAATTCCTGCAAGCCTTGTTGCGAACCCAAGCATTCTCGAATCTAAACCTGTAAGCTTCTTGTCCTGGAACCCATACCTTCATTCTTACGCATATGGGCAGATGGTCTGAGGAAGAAACATCATAAGTAGTAGCATGAGCAAGTGGGAATTTCTGTCTCCAGGACACAGAAGCCAAGAAATTATCAAGCTTTTCCTCGACATGTGCATCTCCATATCTTCCATTATCATAAGTGAAAGCATATCCACTCATCGGGAAGTCAGTGAGTCCGCATCATCCACGGCATCACAAAAAGTTTGAACAATAACGAGCCTTAGGACGACATCCTCTCTTCTCCGACCCATCCAAAATGGCATTAAATTTGGGACAACAAATCCATGGGAGAGAGTTACCCTGGGACAAGCTTTGAAGTAAATCCCAAGTTTCACTCCTACTTTGTTCAGGGTGACCATAAAATCTAGTGTGCCTCCTCTTCCCCAAAGTTGGGTCATCACTATGACCAATGACATCCACACAAGAACACGAATCATAGCTAAAAAAGTTTTGATATCCTCAATTCTCGACGAATTACATAAAGTCTCAATAAGAAAAATAAACATTGGTTTAACATCCCTTATAATGGCTTGTAAGGTATGAACTGCTCATGGGTTGCCAAGGCCACGACAATTCCAGCTAATGCAGCTCATTGAGGGAGAAAGTTGATCACCTTGTTCCCAAATATCAGTTCATCATCCTTGTCGTCCCCAAGAAAAAAACCAAGCAAATTCAACATCAATAATCTCCAAAGGCATACTGTAGCAGAAGCCCCAAAACTCTAACAAAAGGGACCAAACTCTAGCCACCAGACGATAACTCTCACAATGAGAGACGAACTCCAAATTGAAGAATTCTAAAACGTGTGAGCAAATGATTGGGTGAGAAACAAAATCTGAATTTGAAATAAAGCAAGAGGTACAAAACAGGATGTCCGCTAATAATCGGTGTGATGTAGGTAGTGGCAGGAATTCTCCATTGGCCAAAACAACAGAGACCAGCGGTCGCTTCTTAAAACCCTACATCGCTTTGAACGATTTTAGCAAATCAACACTTCTAATATATTCTCAAGTAAATACGAGTAGTAAACATAGTGTGTCAATAAAAAAAAGTTATTTTTGAATCAAGGTTGTTAAGGCGCCAAGACGAGGCGAGGCACCATAGGTATATATGTGTGTACACACACACACACACACACACACATATATATATATATGAATATACTTATGCAACCACAAAAAGATATAAGGCACAACATATGAAATAAAAGTCTACACATAATCTGAAAAAGAAAGAAGTGTTCAGAAGCATTTAGAAGACCAGAAATAACAACATAATTCAATAAAAGTTCATCTCCATCCCGCTGGTTTAATGACCCGAACATGCAAGTCTAAAAATTTTCATTGAAGAGGTCATTCATATGGATATCATTAACTGTATATTCATAGACTCAAGGCGACTGTATAGCGACGTAGAGCGATGTAAGGCGACGCCTAGGCGGCCTGAACGGCTTAAGGTTTTCCAGGATAGGCGTCCAAGAGACATCGCCTAGGCGACGCGTTACACACTATGTTTTAAATGCACAATAATAATGGTACAGTTTTCCAAGAAGAAAATAGATGTGCAGGCATCAAACATACTGATGGCGAATTTTATCAGTTCATCATGTTCGGGTGTATGTGGTATTTGATTAATTGATTTTCCTACTGCTTGCAAAATGCATGAAGTTATTTTTGAGTCCATCCTTTTCTCTCTTTTCTTTTAGTCCTAGATTACCTATTTACCTTTTGAATTTGTTCTGGTTTGACCTTGTTGGTGAAAAATCTAATGGATATTTTTAGGGGGTGTTCAAAATGGACATGACCAGAAACAACATTTACTTGCACGTTGCTTTACACGGGCAGCATCTCACTTTTTGAAAACATGAAAACACATTCCTTCGCTGTTTTTACTTTTCTCTTCATCCATAATCTGAAAAAGAAAGAAGTGTTCAGAAGCATTTAGAAGACCAGAAATAACAACATAATTCAATAAAAGTTCATCTCCATCCCGCTGGTTTAATGACCCGAACATGCAAGTCTAAAAATTTTCATTGAAGAGGTTATTCATATGGATATCATTAACTGTATATTCATAGACTCAAGGCGACCGTATAGCGACGTAGAGCGATGTAAGGCGACGCCTAGGCGGCCTGAACGGCTTAAGGTTTTCCAGGATAGGCGTCCAAGAGACATCGCCTAGGCGACGCGTTACACACTATGTTTTAAATGCACAATAATAATGGTACAGTTTTCCAAGAAGAAAATAGATGTGCAGGCATCAAACATACTGATTGCGAATTTTATCAGTTCATCATGTTCGGGTGTATGTGGTATTTGATTAATTGATTTTCCTACTGCTTGCAAAATGCATGAAGTTATTTTTGAGTCCATCCTTTTCTCTCTTTTCTTTTAGTCCTAGATTACCTATTTACCTTTTGAATTTGTTCTGGTTTGACCTTGTCGGTGAAAAATCTAATGGATATTTTTAGGGGGTGTTCAAAATGGACATGACCAGAAACAACATTTACTTGCACGTTGCTTTACACGGGCAGCATCTCACTTTTTGCAAACATGAAAACACATTCCTTCGCTGTTTTTACTTTTCTCTTCATCCAATAGTCCATATCTATTTCAAATCAATTTTTCTTTCTTCATGTAGAGATGGTCAAATGATTGTTGTGGAGCTGTTCTAAGGGATGATTTGTGGAGTAATATATTCATCTGTTAGCTTTATGGGATGAAGTCAGCTGCTGGTTAAAAATACTAATGGTTTTTCCATGGTTATGCAATATGTTTTTAAAAAACATTATGTGGATGATGCTAGTTTAGTTTTAAGCTAGAGGCCTATTGCATTTTAAAGAATATCATTCAGAAACAACAGTTAGATCTTCTTTTGGTAAGACAGCGCAATCCTGATTTATTATGGAATTCGGATGGGTCCATTTCATATATTCATGGACATGAATGGAAATAATCTCTAGGGATGCATATTGATTCCAATTACTGTTTTTTTGGTGTCATCTTAGCACTGGGATCATCAAATGTTCAATCAACCTCATCAATCTATAAGTACTTTGTTGGATATGTTTTAAGAGTGCATGCTGTTGCTGGATGCAATTCTCATATTTTCTATCTGTTTATTTTTATTAGTATGAACTTTGAAGCAAATTGATTCTTATCTTTTGTGGATGCAGGCCCACTTAGCTCGGGCTTCTGAAGTTAAGAAATCAATAGAGTGGATTATGTGCCATGTTGATGGCCATTATGCTGCTGATTCGGTAGCTGCTGCAATTGCTCTTGGAGCTGCTGCTGCAGAAACAGCTCAAGAAACAGATAATCATGCTAATAGCTTTCTGCCATATTCTATTCTGAGGAACAGTAACAACACTCCATCAACCCAAGGGAAAGGTAGTGATGTGTCAGCAACATCAAATTTGTCAAGAAATTTCAGGTAAATTATGCTATTTATAATATGCACTTAAACAAATATGATCATTTTGCCTAAATTGAAAACCAATATCAATGATGACTGAGTTTCTTGATGCATTTTGCGATAGTGCTAATGAACTCTTTCTCTCCAAAGGCTTCTTAGTGTATGGATATTAATTTCCATATTGCTACATATTTCAGAGAATTTTCCATATTTTTTTGTGTCCAATGCATATAACTTTTCTTTTGTACCATAAAAAAGGAGAAGCCCTATTCCCTGGCTTCATAAGATAGTGCCTACTGATACCTTTGCAATATGGGATGAGACCTATCACCTATCCTTTGTCTGTATAACCTCTTTTGATGCTTTGCCCCTTTGAAAGAGTGAGATTGGTTTGAAAGGTAGCAATCACTGATTTATGTTTCCACTCTTTGTCCTTTTTACGAATGTGCCTCTTGGGTGGTTGTGAAGTATGTGAAATGCTACCCATGTCAAGATATGGAAGATAGTCCCTTCAATTTCATCCCTCTTTTTGCTGTTATTCTTTGCTGTACTCTCGCATTTTCAATTACTACATGAAAAGTTGCCATTATATTTACAAGCACCCTTGTTCTTTACAATTATTTAAAGAGTTGATTTTGGCTCTTGCTAAGCCTTTTTATATCTCTTAATCCAATTCAACATGTTAAGGTTTTGTTGAGATATGACCTGACGCCAATGATTGGTAGGTCTGAGTTTGGTCGGATTTCTCTCTATCTGGAATCCGTTAAGGGGTTATTTTCAAAATATTGTGATATTCACTCATATCTGCTGAACCGTTGGAGTGTTCCCACCCTTATGGTCATCCATATAATTGTTGATTTGTCGAACAAAATAGGTCCAATGTAGATTCTCCCTCCGCCCTAAAACTAACTTCCCGGCTTGACCGGTGGTGATTTTTAAGGAATTGTTAAAAAAATTGTGTTGGCTTTCCCAAAATGCCCTTCTTCTCTCTCGGCCCAACCTTTTTGCTTTCCAGTAATTGGGTTTCATTTACCTTAATGAAGATGGATGCCTTAGGCAAATTACAACGAATACCTCACCGGAGCTCATTGCCCTCCGCCCAAGCTTGGATGAACGACACTAGATCTTTGCATTTGCTTCGTGGGAGCCCGATTTCAAGAGCTGACATAGGGACCTCATCAGACTCATCAATTGTCGTTGAAGCTCAGTAATTGTCCAAAATTGTTGGAGCTCTTCAATCGAAGCGACAGTGAATCCATCAACCAAAAACAAAATTCAAATATAAAATCCAGAAAAGTTCCCTAGTTTTTTCTCACCGATTGAACAAAATGAATGAATAAATTCAAATACCCGTTACAATCCTTAAAACCAACAACCAACAAATGCACAATTGTTAGCGTGGATGTTTCCGTCATAAAAAGCGAGCAAAAAACTATTTTCAAAAGCCAAAGTTGGCCGGATGAAAGGACTCCAGGCAGAAATGTTTGCTGAAGGTAACAACCCATGGCTGAAATTTCTCTTCCGCGCTTCTTGCAATTGTGAAATAGCAGTTAGTCAATGCAACTTTCGACGCTCATCATGGGTCATCTGGAAACAGCTGCTCTATGTTTTAAACATAGAGGTCAGACTGCGTACATCCGACCCCCCTTTTCCCCGTAATGGGCGGGAGCCATTGAGACACTGGGGTAATGTTGTTGTTGTTTGAGGAAGGAGACACATGAGAAAGAAAGTGGACGATGACATGAGTGAATGAAGATGAGAGGGTGAGAAAGTTTGTGGGGATATTAATGTCTTTTAGTACATTAATAGTTGCTATTTTAGGTAATGGGAAGATAGTTTAAGGACGGCCCGAATAGGAAAGTGAGAAGATAGTTTTTAGGACAGGGGGGAGTATTTATTAGAGATCTGGTTTCTGGGTGCACTTTTTCTGTTCAAATATTGTAATATCAAGACACTAGGAGGTTAGCCCTCTGTACTTGCAGGTAACGTTAAGCTGCTGCCTACTAGATAGTGGAACCACTGTAAGCAAAAGGCCTGTGCTTTTGAACTTACTGCCAGAAAGATCCTGAGAGATCCAGTCCTTCTAGAAAGATTGTGAAAGTTACAGAGAGATGCAGTCACCAGAATATTCAGTTCAGTTTAGAATTATTCTTTCAGTTATCCAGAAAGATCCAGGAGAATACAGAAGGATCCAAAAAATTTGTTGTTTGAAAAAAAGCTAGACATAACCAGAAAGTTTCAAATCCTGAAAGATCCACAAAGTTTTACATGAAAAGAACATGCCCTAGCCCCTAGCAAAAAGACGTATCATTTGTATAAATATTTCCATGATGATAATTAAGAATGAGAACAAGGTATCTTTAGGACTAATAGTACTTCTAAGTCAATCTAATGACTTCACAAAGATCGCATCATAAGGATGATGTCATTGTTCTTGGCTGTTCTAAAACTACTGTTACTCTCTACAGTTTTCAAATTGCTACTCTCTACAGTTTTCTATAGTTGCTGGGATGGTGTGTGCATTCATACGTAATTATCCGAAGGTTCTTTCCTTTTTATTTTGAGCAGAGCTGATATTTTGAGAGAGAATACAGAAGCTGTATTTGCTGCTTGTGATGCTGCTCATGGGAGATGGGCAAAGATTCTTGGAGTCCGGTCTCCAATTCATCCAAAACTAAGATTGCATGAGTTTCTAAACATATATAACATAACCCAGGAATTCATAATTGCAACTGAGAGGGTATTTCCTTTAATTCTCTTACTATAATACTCCCCCCGTCCCATAAAAAAGTTCAACATTCTTTTTTTGTTAATCCCGAAAAGGTTCATCTTTCCTTTTGTGAAAGGAATTGTGTGCTTTACACAAATTTTCTCTCTGCACAAAACTCAACCACACACTTTCACCTTTATTAATGACCATGCCCGGTCAATTGTGGAATCTCATTTCGGAATGGAGGGAGTATAACATTGAGATTTTACATGTACAGCTTTTGGTTGTTATGATGTCATGATATGCTAACAAATACAGATTGGTGGAAGGTTGGGGTATAGTATACGAGGAACACTACAGTCGCAGGCCAAAGGTTTTGTTGAATTTCAACATGAGTCTCGTGTTAGTAACCATCCATTTCTCCCAGGTTTTCCTTGGTTTTGACGGCTTAACCTGTTGGATCTGATTGTATGCTAATAATGTCAGATGGCAAAAATGAAGGCAATACTTGACCAGGAAAACTGGGCTGAGATTGATGTGCCTGTCGAGTTTCAGATGATAGTCACATCACTCTTTTGCTCAGAATGTTTGGTCACTAGTGATGATTCTACAGATAATGGTGCTGGTGCCCCAGGCAGTGAAGGTTCCCCCATGGATGCACAGCTCTCAAATTCATCAGAAAATATGAAGCAGCATAATTCAGCTGCAACGCATCAGGATAACACATCAGGAAGTGAAGCATTGTTAAGAACTGATAGTGGACATGCAGAGACTGAAAATAATTCCGCTAACAGTACTGAACATATCTCAAGGGAACGTGGAAGAGCTTCACCTAGAATGCTTTTTTTCAAAGGAATAGGATATCACATGGTTAACTGGTAAGTAATTCATCTCGAGTCTCATGAACTACACTTTCATCTCTTTTGTTTGTGTCTATATCTAGTGGGGTGGATTTTTGGCTAGTGTGCCTTCTCCATCAACTGTCAGAGCAAATTGTTATTTTTTGATCTTTTCATCCTCTTCTGCTTTGAGCTGCATTTTCTTGTTTTTACATCTCTTTATTAAACTTACACTTCAAATAAAATAATTGATACTTTACTTTTTTCAGTGGACTGATTTTGGTGAAGATGATGTCTGAGTATATTGATATGAATACTAATATGCCGGGGCTTTCTTCAGAAGTAGTTCATCGTGTTGCTGAGATCTTGAAATTTTTCAATACAAGGACTTGCCAACTTGTTCTTGGTGCTGGAGCTATGCAGGTTGACATAATGTATAATAGACTGATGACTTACTGAATTTATTTCTTGCAGTGCTATTAGTACTCGGTATTAGTGACTAAGAAGTAAAATAGGATCTTTGTTGAATCATTGATATCATTCTGAGTAATAGATTACTACAGGTAGAGCCTGATAAGGACATTGGGATTTATTTAGATAAACAAACCTAGTTTAATCCCACAAGCAGGAATTGAGAGGGTAAGATGTATAGACATCTTACCTCTAATCGCGAGAGGTGGAGAGGCTGTTTCATACTCCCTCCGTCCAAGATTAAAGTTCCCGGTTTGACCGGGCACGCACTTTAAGGAAGTGTAAAAATTTCCTTGACTTTCCAAATTTGCCCTTCTTTAAATTAAAATCAAGTGATAAGAAATGAAAAAGTGAATAAAGTAAGAATAGTGATGATTTGATTGATAATGATTAAAAACTAAAAATATCCCAAAAAGTACATAAAGTTAAACTACTACTCCAAATCACAACCACAAAAACTTAAAAAAATCCCAACAAGTACACAAGGTTACACGGTATTCCAAATGCCAAATTTTATCAAAAATTCAAAGTCCCCCCCAAAAACAAAAAATTTCAGAGCTTGGGGCCATCAAAGCTGCAGATGGTTCGTCTTCTTCCTCGGAATCAAGCACCACGGNGAATTGGGTACAGGAGAGAGCAACTTAAGAGTTGGGAGGACGAAGATCAGAGATCCAAGATCTGGATCTAAGAGAGTGAACAAGAGAAAATTGAATGAGCTAGTTGGAGGAGAAAACGAGGTGTTGAAGAAGAGAGGAGATAACGAGGAGATAGAATAATGAGTGGATGTGAGTGGGTGGGGTTTAATGTGGGGGGTTGAATTAATTAAGGTGGGTAGTGGGGTATGTGATGTGAGTGAAAGTGAGAGGGGTATAAAAGACTTTTCACTTTAAATTTATTGCCTAAAATAGAAATGGGAACATTAATTGTGGACATCCTAAAAAGGAAAGTGGGAACTTTATTGTTGGACGGAGGGAGTATAAAACATTGGCTCAAAAAAAATAAAATCTAAGTAGGTTGGAAAGAAAGTAAGCAAATCAAATTAATTAAAACAATGTGAAAAACGTAAAATATCAGCAGGCACACAACACTACACCCGTATGGCCGTACATTACTTGAGGGATGAGACATTTAAGCACAAAAAGAATAAACAGCTACACGTGACCTAAAGCCTCTAAACCAAGAGCATGAGATGAAACGGCTAACTCCCACCTCTCAGATTAGAGTGACCTAAACTAAAGAATCAATTACCCAAAACTTCCTATTTATGGCCATTTCTTTACTTCTATGTGACTACAACCTTCTTGGTCGTATGCAACTTAAACCCATTTGATTCAATTTAGATACTGGGGTTATTCATATACTACACACAACAATATTTTTTATGAAAGATTGTGTGAACAATGTTCATTAGGTTCAAATCATTTGCATTTACTCATACAGTCATACTTCTTAAAGTGTTTGACTGAATTAAATTGTACAGGTATCAGGTTTAAAGTCTATTACTTCTAAGCACCTGGCTTTGGCGAGTCAGGTTATCAGTTTCACATATGCTATTATACCAGGTATATGGTGTAATATTGACTAACCTGTTGCTAGCTTCAACACATACCCACATGCATGCATATCTATGTATTCATACATGCATGCATATGAGGATGCTTACCATCTGAGACTTTGAGTATTAGACAGTTTGTCTATTTTTCCTGTTAGTTTCATTTTTTCAAGCTAAAATTTCACAATCAATATAATCTTATTGATCTTGTCTCAGTTTGTAGAGCATTAAGTCTTGGAGTTTTTTTAATACACCCGATTAACACATTTTCTTGCATATTTTCTGTACTCCTGAAGAAATCAAGAAGGTGCTATTTCTTAAAGTACCTGAAACACGGAAAGGACTGTTGATTTTAGAGATTGATCGTGTCGCACAGGCAAGGGATCTTTTTCTCTCTCTCTCTCTATTCTGCGATTATGTATTTCGTTCTAGCTAGTTTTCTACTTGAATAATGCAGGGGTTATGAACTCTAGTACTCAACTGCTCTTTGTTCATGAACTGGGATATTATTTTTGTTTGGGAAAGTATCATTTATAAACTGAATTTTTTTATAGTAAATTCTATAAATAGTCCTTTAAAACAGGGTGTTCTCCGTACACACTCCTAAATCTAAGATAATATGTTTGTGATCCTCTATATTTTAGAATTATTCCATGATCAAGTTCTTTGGATCCAAATAAGTTTTTACACACATAGTCCATAAAGGACTTATTAGGGAATATCCCAGTCCGTCGTATGCGCCGGTCTCTGATGAGAACCCGTGCGCCTTCCCCGGATCAGGAACATGCCTGAAGAGAGTATATCCTGAGACGCGGCAACATCGAATATGAGAACTTTATCTGGGAGTACAATGAGCGGGTCTGGATCATAGTTATTTAAGGCGCAATGTGCACCGATGTACCAAGGAGGTCTAGAGCTATGATGTGCCATTAATGCGCGCGCTACACGAACATGCGTGCCTTGTGATATGATTACTTATTTTAAAATTATTATTCCCAGGAAAAATGGGCCAACTTTTCCCCGAGTATATTTCATTCTCACATACAAATAGATTATTTCTGTATAGCAATTTTTTGATTGAGTTTCATTTTCATAAGCTTTTCTGTTTGTTTTGGATATTTAGGCAGGCATGGTTTTTCAAATATACCATTTGCTTTGTCTCAGTTGTAGTATCTCCTTTCTGATATAAAATTTATTGCACTAATATAATGTAATGCATAAGGGAGAAAGACTAAAGTTGGAGTAAAACATAGGAAAAAAACCAAAATAGGGCTTTCATGTTTTTATCCTAGAATAGGACATACAATGCCAATAATGTCAACACATAATACAAAAAAGTACTGTGGAATGGCAATATACAGTGCCACATTGCCACGGTGTGAAGTCCTATTTTGGGGATAAAAACCCGTCACTTCTATTTTGGGGATAAGGAAGATGTTTTACTCTTGTTTTGGGGGATTTTTTTAATGCATAATTGCCCATTGTCCAATTTCAGTGTGTACATCTGTGTGTATGTCAATGTTTTCATATTCAATGATGAATGTTGAATGGTTGTTTGCCTCACATTATTTCTTAATGAGGTTATAGGATTACAAAGTCCATAGAGATGAGATACACTCAAAGCTTGTACAGATTATGAGGGAGCGGCTGCTAATTCACCTGCGTGGGTTGCCTCAAATTGTGGAGAACTGGAGTAGGCAAGAAGATACTTATCCCCAGCCGAGTCAATTTGCTCGATCTATTACAAAGGTAGTGCTTTAGAAGCTTTTACTCCCAACCATTGTGTGCTTAATTTACCTCGTTTATAAACATCAAGGAGGTTATAATTTTTTAGTTCTCAGGTGGTAGTGCATGCACACCATAAAATATTTTCATGATGAATATTAGATTTAAAACTATAGCCTACATTCGAGATCTATATGTCACCTTAGTTAAGGTAGTTGTTACTCTTTTTGCTGTTTCATTAATCATTACATTTTATTATTCTATTTATTTTGTTTTTGTTCCAATTTTTCAACTTTAAACTTTACAGTTTTATACCTTGCCATGTATGTGTATCCATGTATCCACATGTTGAAGAAGCTTTAAAAAAGAGACAAGAAATGAATATTACCTAGCTTTGAATTTTAGGAAACTTCGTGGGTGACTCTTTGTTTTGTGTTACTCCCTCCGTCCCCCTAAGATCTTCTCATTTTGACTTTTTGTGGTTTTTAGGGAGAGTTGAAAAAAAGTGAAAGTTTACCATAATATCCTTAATGAAAATGGGTGGAGTGTATTAAATGAGGTAGGTGAGGTGTAATAAATAAAGTAAGTGGGGGTAGTTGTGGTGTTTTAATTGTTAAAAAAGGTAATGTGAAGATCTATGGTGGACAAATAAAAAGAGCTAATGAGAAGATCTATGGGGGACGGAGGGAGTATTTCTTAGGAGTGACCCCCTCATATGTGTGCTTCTTAAAATAATCTTGAGGTAAGCTAGAACATCCCCTCTGAGACGGTGATTTAATGGATTGACTAAACATGGTGTAGTTGACAGACCCATGGCCTGTCATTACTTCTTGCAATGGGCTCATGACATAAACATCACACATTTTAAGCGTTTAGTTTCTTGTTATGTGATACAGGGTGTTTCAGTCTACCTCAAGGTTATCTTTAAGTGTGCATAAGCCTCATGAGAAGGTCATTTAGAGAAATTCCCCAAACCTAAGGGTTACTCCACGAAATTTCTCTTAAATTTATGTTTACTACTTTGCTGCATGACGTCCAGACCCTACTCTTGTAGGGTTCAATTTTGTTGTTGTACCTTGCTGCATGACGTTTCTCAAACTTGTCTTAATCTTAGCTTGAACAAATCATGTGGCTTTTGAGCACTTGATTATGTTCCAGGATTATACCACGTGGACCAAAATTATTTCACTGTCTCTAGCATTGCCTTAACAATGAACTCGTGGTGGGCCAGTCAATTCAGGGCACACAGTCAATGTGATACGGCTATATTTATCACATGCCACATAAAGATGAATTTTGACATTTTTGGGCCCCTTCGCTTTATCTCGGAATGACATTTTTGCCTAGGATGTGAATGTGAGATTTGTTAATAATATGGAAAAGCTTCACTGTAAATTTCCAAGTAAATATTTTATCAAAAGCGCCTGAAAAGAGGTGCAAGCATATCACACAGAAATGCATCCGCAGAAAATCAGACAACCAGACAAAAGCTTTCAGTTTCATTCCCTCGCACCCCCTCCAAGAAAAAGATTACCCCTTGAAGTTTCAACCAGTTCTGATAATAGGTCACCACAACCATGCAATGCGCTTCACACTTAACTTTTTATATGCTCCATATATGCTTTTATGTGATCGATACTGTCTTAATTTACATTTTGGTATTGGAAAATGAATGCTTTTGTCAAAATTAGAAATTATATGTTCTTTCTCTCACTAATATATACTCCCATCCCTAAAAGGTTTGCATAGTCTGAGTATTGCAGTCTTTGAGACAACCATTTTTTTCATAAATCGCTATAATTATGTGTAAATAAATATTATGTATATTATATTCCGTATATTTTAGAACTACACGTTATTATGTTAAAATGAATCTAACGGTGTTAAGTTCACCTTATAACTTAATGCATATTTAATGCAACTTATGGCGGTCAGAATTCGCAAAGTTTGACCAAAAAAATCAAACAACGCAAAGTATTTAGGAACGCAGGGAGTGTGTTTGTGTGTGTATAGACACACATACACACACACAATGTTGTGATTTGTCTTCTATGCTACTCCCGCTCTTAAATTTATCCCTTCGCTTCATGCATTTGTCGAACTAATTTTGCTTGCTTGCTCAATTTTGCTGAAGGAAGTCGGTCTTCTACATCGTGTGTTATCTCGAAGTCTGCACGAAGTAGATGTTCAAACTATATTCAGGTACGCAAGTTGGTTCACTTTCTGAAGCGAAGGATAAAATACCCATGAGAGTAATTCAAGTGAAGTAAAACGCTTTTAGGTTTGGTAATATGGGCAAAATCCAAGAAGGCTAGAAGAGAAATTAGGTTGCTCGACTTACTTCCATTGCTGAAAAAAAAATCAGAAAAATCCCAGATTTCTTCTCCATCATTCCTTGAGATGTCTAGCTGTCTGTATTACAACGACCAAAACACAGTCTTTTTAATACTAAATATTGCTTTACTAAATCCATATAACAAGTTTGCCAAACAAGGCATAAGGTAATGGGTAGTATGTACACGGTGAGGCCCCTAAATGCCCTAAGGTAATGGGTAGTATGTAAGTGTTGGAGTGATTACAAAATGTATGGAGGTGGGGGTGGGCATCTGTGGCAGCGAACTTAAATGGTAGTTTCAGCGACCTTTAGTTTTCGTCATGCTGCTATAAAAAGATTGAACTTGTGTTCTACTTGCAGGCAAGTGGTACAAATCTTTCACACTCAAATTTTTGAAGCGTTGTCATCTGTTGACATAAATAATCATCAAGTGAAAAATAGGTATTGTAGCATCACAATAATATCTTTCCTGACTATTTGCTCAATCCTTTGTTTGTTTTGATGGACTTGTGTTCTATCTTTTGCTGAATCTTGAATGCCACCTGCAGAGTATATTGCGATGTTCAACATATTCTTGGGTGTATCCGATCATTGCCTTCTGATGAATTGAATAAAACCAATCCGCGTAATTGGGGTCAGCTCGATGAATTTGTGGCACAAAATTTTGGTACAGAAGCCACTTCATAGATTTCTTGTAGAATAGCCGTTTGATTGATCCAACGCAGACCTCAATAGAACAATTGTGGATGCCCGAAGTCTATGCATCAAAACTACACATGTCATGGTAAAAGGTGTAATATTTTTTCTTGTGGTTTACTTTTGTCTTTTACTTGTAAATTTTTGTTGTTAGGCTCTATTGCGGTCTATATAGTGTTTGCATCGAAGGGGTTACTGAAATGATAATACAGTGAGTAACTAGACAGTGATGATCAGAAGATCCAAAAGCATTGTTTCTAAATGTCTTAATTTTAAAAACAAAAAAAAGTGGCATTCTTACTAATATACTACTACCTCCGTCCATGAGTATTTGTCAAGTTTTGATTTTCTCAGTAAATCGTTTTTTACCTTTGACCTATAATTAAATAAAATATATATATGCCTTCAAATATATATATATATAGCCGGGGTAGGAAGCCCACACTATAGAGCCACTCCTGGTAGCCTTCCCAAGGGGTCACCCATCATCTCACTACTCTAGCAGCAGCATGCTTAACTTTTCTAAAATTCCCCCAAAGTCGCCCTCTCTGGGGATCAAACTCGGGTCGTAAGGATCCCCGTTTAAAGTTTAGACCATCTCACCAGGGGGGATCCTTGTATATATATATATATATATATATATATATATATATATATATATATATATATATATATATATATATATATATATACTCCCTCCGTCCCCAATTAGATTACAATATTCCCTCTTATTTTTGTCCCAAAAAGAATTACAAAGTGTTTACTTTTACACTAAATGGACTCTTTACCCTCCCCCCCTTTATCATTTCAATGTCAAAATCTCAACTACCCACTCATTCCTATACTATTTGGGGGGTAATTTAGGAAAAAATACTGATTTGACTCTTCCTTAATTTTCCCTAAAAGGGAATATTGTAATCTAAAAGGGGACGGAAGGAGTATATATATATATATATATATATATATATATATATATATATATATATATATATATATAGTATTTTATTTAGATAAAATAATATTTTGGAAATATTTTATATAATAAATCTAATAAAAAAAAATTGTATCAATATCTAATATCATTTTTATTTAATTTTAGGTCAATATTTACCAATTTGATCGAAAAAAGTCAAAAGTAGAAAAATACTCAGGGACGGAGGGAGTATCATTCCTACTCCAAAAGGGAATTACTATTACTCTAAATTAGGTGTTCACTTCATTATTTTGTTTTTTCTTTACTTTTATTAATCATTTGTTTTAATAATATAGTTATCTCACACTTTGTTTTACAGAGGATATGATATATCCTTTGTCCCTAAATAAACTTCCTACGGAGTAGTTATTATGATGACTTTTGTTAGAATGATTTCGTAGATAATTTGATAAAATAAAATGTTTTTGTTACATCTTATTTTTCAACAAAAGAGTTGGAATTTTCCATATTGTTAAGTAGGAAGTTTATTTAGAAATGAAGAGAGTAGTTTTTCCTATTATGGAATGAATTTTATTTTTAAATTTTATTCCGTATACTTATATTTAAATAAATTGGCATAGGTGCCTTGGGCATCCATGCGTAAAAGTTTTATCTTGCTTTCCATCAGCTAGTCAAAGTAAATTTAGTACTTTGAGTAAAGCAACTGGGTCTACTTGTTTACGTGCATAAAACAACACATTTGGTTCAAATTGTGCATATTGTTGTTTGGAGTCTGTATCGAGTCTGTATCGAACACCTAGTATGGATGGTGATATGTCATTCTTGAGTTTTATCTTGCTTTCCATCAGCTAGTAGTAGTAAAATACTCCCTCCGTTTTTAAATATTTGCCACACTTGTATTCCCGAGGAAAAATATCAAGTTTTTTGAATTCATTTTATTTATATATTGGTATAGAAATAAAAAATAAAATTTACATATCAAAAAACTACATGAAAAGTTCTTCGAAATAAGAGGTGTCAAGAATATTTTATTTTATCAAATAACCAATGAAAACGTAGAAATAAACAAAAGTTCCCGCAACGCTGAAAAAGCAAACATTGCAAATATTTCAGGACGGAGGGAGTAAGTAGTTTGAATAAGGCTTGTTCTCTTCACTTGATCTGATTGGTTCTGATTTGATTAGAATAAATTTTGATTTAGTCTGATCTGATTTGATCTGATTCCATTAATACTAAGTAATAAGTAAAAAAAATAAGTTGGGGAGAACATGACCTAAAGCACCTTGCGTTATTTGTTTACATCCTAAACAGTCTCGTGCATGTTTTCATTTGAGCAATAATAAAACTACGGATTGGTTTCAAACTGTGCACATTCATGTTTGGGGTCCATATTGAACACCTATATGGATGGTTATGCGTCTTTTCTGACTATTGTGTATGATTACTCACGTGGAACATGGGTGCACATCTTGCGTGCCAAGTATGAGGTTTCTCTGATTTTTCGTCAATTTTGTGCCATGATCGAAAGACGGTTTTCAAAGAAGCCAAAAACAATTTGTAGTCATAATGGTAAAGAGTTTAAATGTTTTTACAAGTTTTTTAGAGACAATTGTATATTAAATGAAACGTATTGTCGTAGGACTCCGTAATAAAGTTGACACGTAGAACTGAAACACTGGTAAATGCTCAATGTTGCTCGTGCTCTACGGTTTCAAGCGTTTCTTCCTATTAATTTTTAAGAAAAATGTATTCTTTCTCCTGCGTATCTCATCAACCAAACGCCATCCAAATTTCTGACTGGGAAAACACCTTATGAGATTATGTTTGGTGAATCGCTAGCCATATCCCATATTTGTGTATTTGGATGCTTGTACTATATTCACAATTAGGATCGTGGTGGTGATGAATTTGAACCTCAAAGTCCAAAAGGTGTTCATGGCAAAAGGGGATGTTGCGTGTATTGTCGAGATACTATTTGTACTATGAGGGTGATATGATCTTTTGTGATATGATCTTTTGTGAATATGTTTTTTATTTCAGGATTTTTATTTGTCACCTCCAATGGATAATTCTCTAGCTTTTAGTTTTGTTGATGATAATACTGATGTCACAACCAAGCATGTCATGCGGGGGGGGGGGGGGTAGTTGTTCCTGTAGTCGTCGTCGTAACCCTCTAGGGGATGATACTGATGTCCAGCCAAGCATTTCTTTGTTTCGCTCAGACAAGCATCCCCTTTCAATATTTTCCAACAAAACTATGTCTTTTGTCGTCATATGCTGACTCGCACCACTGTTAATAATCCAATAATGGTTAGTCATGCCTGAGAATTTATTTTCAAGATGTACGTGGGCTTGACTAGCGAACACGGCAGTTCTGCGACCTATTGCCGCTATCGCGACTAGGAGGTGGTGTGCCACCGCCTTCACTCTTTTCTCGTACTCCTCTTCTGCCGTTTTGCACTCGGGTCCCTGCCACCATCATGGATAGCTTATAATTTGAAAACATCCACTGATCTCATGCCTTATCTAACCACAATTTTTGCACTTAAGATTATTGTTGTAGGCAAGGAAGGCGATTGGAGGAGACCGCGAAATCCACTAAGTTGCGCTCTTCTTTATGAGTCATCTTCAGGACACCCTCATGTTGTATTATATAAGAGAATAGACCCAATTAATGGGTGCCAAAGGTTTTACGCTAAAAAATATTTGAACACGGGCTTCCATATCCTTCCTTATCCAAGCCCATAAAAAGTGATGCATTTTTTAAAAATTTGCACTAAAAAAGTTGAAAATTGATGAAAACAATATAATCATGTCACCTCTAATTTTGTAAATCTTTCAATCTCATTTTTCAATATGTATTTTTTTAATTTTACATGAATAATCATATTAAATGAATTTTAAAAAAATCAATTAAACATCGTTACGAAAGAAAATTTATGGAAGGAGGGAGTATTTATCGAAAACTTTCATACAGTAATAAAACTTTTAGTAAAATTAATTAAAATTATGTACTTTAAGTTTTAAAAACATTTCTTAATGCATATTTTCATTAATAATTTCTGAAAAGAAAATAATTTATATATCTTTTGATGTAGCATAATTGAATATCATTCAATTTGATAATAATTAGTTCTATTGAATAATGAAGAATATATATTTATAGATAGAGATCACAAAAGAGAATTCTAATCCTACTATGACAAGAATTATGACAACAATACAATAAGGAAATAATATAATAAGGAAGGTAAATAATAATCGGTGGGGTTCTAGTGACACCGGAAAACGGTACCACTAGCGGTGCCACTGCGTTTTTGGGGCACTTCCGGTGCTCCGTTCGTAAAATTGACGGTTCCTAACCCCCCTAACCCACCTCCTAAACCCCCCATCCTACCCCCACCCCAACCCCGCCGTAAGCCCCCCACAAAATGTATGGCTATTATGCATTGCATAATAGCCACACATTTGTGTGAGGGGCTTACGGCGGGGTTGGGGTGGGGGTAGGGTGGGGGGTTTAGGGGGTAGGTTAGGGGAGGTAGGAACCATTAATTTTACGAACGGAGCACCGGAGGTGCCCGAAAAACGCAGTGGCACCAGAGTGGCACCGTTCTCCGGTGTCACTAGAACCGGGCCGATAATAATAATAATTTTATTTAATATTATCACTAATATTTCTAATAGTATATATAATTGACATCACTATATTATTTTAAGAAAAAATATTCGAATACCAAAAATTTACACCTGAGCTCCACCACATGTTGTGCCTCAACTTGCCAAATGTCGTGTTTTTTTTAAACAAAATGCAAATATTTTATTCACGCATCATAGTCTCAAATACAATAACTAAAATAGATACAGTGTAACATAAACTAACAAGACATACAAAAATGGGAAACTATCCACTCTCATATTAAGCCTTAGATTTCAGATATGTGCAACATGATAAATAATATCATGGGTGACAACTTCAATCGAGGTAAGTTTGCGCTGATGGATCATTTTATTACGAGCTTTCCAAATATAGTAGACACTTCACACTTACAACAAAGATAGCTATGATCCTCCTCCTCCTTTTTAGCAGTTGAATATTCTAAAAGTCCACAATGAAATCCAGACAAAAATATTGTAAGTTATAAATTTAAATTAATAAGTTTTTGAACTAGTAATTATCATTTTAGAAAAATAAATGTGAAATTTGCACTAAATAGTTCTAAAACATATGTCATTTTTCAATATAGTACTTAAACTTTTTATTCCCTAAATTAAATAGCATTTGAATAATGTCTAGTGATGAGAATAATGTCCAGTACTGATGGTGGACATTTAGTTTGAACAATGTCTAATGGCACTGGATATTTACTTAAACAATGACAAATGGAGAATGACCAGTGGTACTACATTGGGAAATAAAAAAATATGGTATCACATTGTG